AAGAGATCTCCCTCCATCCTGCTCTGCAGTATCCTTTTGCTCCACACCTTCACCAGAGTTTTCAGTTGCACCAACCTCTGTTTTTTTCTCACTCTGTTCTCGTTTCTTTTTAGTTTCTGATAATCTGGACGGATTAGCAGCAGATGTTTTAGAAGCTCTTGGTGGTGCTTTCTCACTGGACACCTCAGGAGCACCTTTTGGCTTTGATCCAGGCTTGGCAGCTCCTACTGAGGACTGTTTACCAGGACCTGAAGATCCTTTAGCAGTTTTAGCATTGGACTTAGCACAGACTCCATTAACTGAAGCAGGCTTTGTGATCTTCTTTTTGGAAGCATCACTGCTGGTTTTCTCTGGTACTGAGGTTTTCAGCAGATCCTTGGTTTCTTCTTTCCTGGGAGAAGCTGGCGTTTTCATAGAGCCTCCGTGTTTAGAAACTAAACCAGAATAAAGTTTCAAAAACAAATTTTCTTCAGTTTTCAAGTTCAATAACAGAGGCTTGAGTTAAGCTTGGTTTATGCTTGACGCATTCACTTTCCGCTTGGTGATGCGGCTCGCGGATGGAACACGCTTCACAACTCGCAGCGTTTATGGTTCGTGCGGCTCGTCTCTGCGGTGAGCCAATATTCTCCCAAACTGTAGGGGGCAGCATGGAGCTCTACGGCATGCATCCAACACTACACCATAGTAGAAGTAAAAATGACTGTTGTTTACAACATGGCATTCCAGCATTTTTAACAGCGTCCTCGTCTTTTCCGACAGCGCGAGCTATTTCTCTCCAAGAATTATTAACAACATGTTGATCACGGCGATCTCTGAGAGCTGAATCATACAAATGTCTGTGTTTACGAACCTCTGCCATACTAGTTCTTGCCGGTCCGCCATGTTTTTCCGCGTCCGACTGTCCACGTGGTTAGAAATTTTTCCTAGGTGCGCGTTGCGGAAATTTTGGGCCGTGCGGAGACGTGGTTGTTAAAATGACGCAATTTCACCGCGCGGACGCATCAAGCATAAACCAAACCTTAAAGCAGGCTGACCATCTCACCGTGGGGGTCTGGCGTTCCTCTTCCTTTGGTGTCTGACCTCAACACTCCAGCTGCCCTGTCTGTAGGACCAGTTTTAAATTTGGTGCCATCTTTCACACTGGAAGTATTGGTAGGACTGGTGAAACAGACAAAAAAACAACAACAAAAAAAAAAAACAAGTTATGGCTTTACTACAAAATGTGACTGGGCCTGTTTCCGTGTTTTTGAGGAAGTTTCACTTTTCATCCAAAGATTGTTTAATCTGCACTGAATAATCTATTAATGGTCTTTCCATTTAACTGACTAAAGAAGATTTGATCCTAGAAGATAGACCTTTAACAATGTTTAGTTTATGTTAATCACACCAACACACCAGGAACAACATCAACAATAACAACACAGCTCCAGGTTCATCCATCCGTCTGCCAGACCAAAGCCTTGCTGTTGTGGTTAACTTGCACCATGCTTTATGAAAGGAGCCATCTGACACAGGCCTACACCTTCTGTTTCCTGTTGGCCCTTGAAGTACTCACACTGGTACCCGGCCAACATTTTAATCTTCTAGAGAATATTTTACTTCTATCATTCCTCTGTAAGGTGTTTGAAAGGGTAGTGTCTAAGCACCTGACTGCTTCATCCACAGATAATGTTTTGTACCGTTTTCTGCAACCATCAGATTCTGTGCCTCCAAAGAGAAGCCTGAAGAAAGAGAGTTGGACCTTAGAAATGTTATTTTTCAAAATGTGGCAAGCTTGATGGCTTTTTCCAAGAATGTACACACTTCTGTAAGCTAATAAAACATTTGCCTAAAAAACAAGCAGCTTAGGTTGTGTTTTCTCTAGTTAATTAAAGCAGCATTAAATTCAACAGACCTGTCAGGAGCCTGTAACTAGAACGTGTGAAATCAAAACACCCTGACTGAACCGTAACCACAACACTAAAATAGACAATTTAAGCAGCAGCAATCTGGCCGTCAAAACTAGATCCACATGAAGTCATTTACAAGCTGGATTACAAATGATTGTGAAAAAAAACTGTTCGAGATTTGTGTTGAATTGTGGAAGAAGGCTCATACAGTTGACCAAAATGCAGGAAAACAAATCTTTAAAGAGGTCCTTCAAATTTTTAATACATTTGCGGTGATCTCTAGAAGGAAAGAATGCCTTGCAAGTGGTACTCTAAGGAAAAAAGCTCTGGTGCACCTGTTCCAGGAACTAGAAGATTGCCAAAGCTTGACAGCATGTTACGTGCCGTGCCCCTTTTCAGCCACAAGATGGCCTCAGTGGCCTTTGCCTCGCCTGTCTCCCGGTGTTCTGGGAATTTCTCCTACCCCGTAAACCGTCCTACCCGTTGTTACTGAGCATGTGCGCGCATGCGCACAACACAAAAGGGGAATGCTACTCCACTGTCATATTTGCAGGAAAATAGATAAGTAGTAAGTATTAGTACTTTTTATTGACGTTGATACCAAATTTTTTTTGTTAGGTGGGTTAGAGTTATGGTTAGGGTTTGTGTCATGTAAAACACCGTAAAATTATCCTACGGGTAGGACGTTTTGCCAAAGTAGGACGTTTTCTCAGAACACCGGTCCCCAGCTGTGGTCAATTACAGAAATCACTTGGCAGCTGTTAAAAGCTGCTTCCAGCCACCGGTTCAGGGAGAAGGTCAAGGATAGTGCAGACTGGGAACAGTTTGGGCTATTCTCTTCTCCTCGGTTCGCTCTTTGGAATTTGGTAGATAACTCGTTAGTATTTGAATTTGGCGGTGGATTGTTTGGATAATTTAACCTCGGAACGGCTTTTGACTTTGACTTTAGGATCTCCCCTTTTCAATCTATATTTATTATTATTCTAGGTTTTCTTCCCACCCCCTTCAGGGGTGGCGCTTTACGTTATCTCCTTTTTGAATACTGCTCCCTTGGTTTTGTTTATAGTATTGGTTTTAGGTTCTTTGTAAATATCCAGCATTTTGTAATAAAATCCTTTGTTTTTAAGTGACACAACACGTTATTATTTAACCCACACACTACTTTTATTACTCCACTCCTCATCTCTCCTAGAGAGCCGGGGACGTAATATTATTTGCTGACATCTCACCTCTGATTGGATAACAGCAATGTGACTCTGACTGTTATCTCTGCAATGTGGATGTTTTATCCTCACAAATAACACAAGCCTGAAAGTGTTCCGCTGTGTGGTGGAGTTGCTAATGCTAACGGTTAGCTTTTGCTAGCTGAGACGTGCTCTGCCGTTTCCTGGACGCTAAACAACAGTCTTCCCCGTCGTGAGTGAAGCCGGGTGAGTCCGTGATTGTTAGGCGACGGTGTGACGTAGATCTGTCAGACTTTTCTAATCCCAGAGTTTCACCGTCTATTTTCTATCAGAAGCTAATACAGGAGATATGTGTAGGAGACTATTTCCATGTCATAAAAAACTCAGAGTGACCACTCATTTCCAAAAATAATAAATAAAAATGGTTTCTCAGTGAAAGCTCTCTTTAAAGTTTACATCTGTAACACTAGGAAGAGAACGGATCAGGGTCAGCAGCTCGTTGAATCACTGACTTGCTTCTCAAATCTCATCAACAGTTAAAGAAAATGGATGAAGAAAGCGTTCCTCTAACCGCATGCACAAATGCCAGAAATAAATCTCACCTGCTGGTCTTTGGTGTTTCTGCTTTCTGAGGAGGTTTTGTCAGAGTGGGTTTGGTTACTGGCTTAGCCTGCTGTTTGGGCTTCACACCTAAAACACGCAACATGAATCTGTAAACACAACGCTGTCGTATTTGCAGCATGTATAATAAATACCTTGGCTTTGTACAACCTCCTGTAAACTCAAACCATTGCATCATGAGGTAAAAATAGACTCAAGAAATAAAAAGTCAACCTCAATTAGGACATTCCCCATGGTTTCTGGCCTTTATGATGGAGTCTTTGAACTCTCGCTACGAAGTCATTTCAAAGAATAATTCAGATTGAGATTCAAACTAGACATGTTCTTCAATACATTCACTTTAAATAGTTTAAACACTGCACTGATGTAAGAATAATTATCTTAAAATGTCTTCCTCCTCACAACCTTTAAAATCAATGAAAAAATATAGTGTCCAAATTTTGTTCTTCCACCTGACTAAACGTCAACCGATGTTGGTTTTACTATTACCTATTAGGGATGCAAGAAAATATCAATATGGCAATATATCGCGATATTTTTTCCAGCGATATATCGATATTCAAAAGCTGTGTATCGAAAATATTGATATCGCAATGTATCGTGAAATTTTTTCCAGCAATATTATATCGATATTCAAAAGCTGTGGTTCTAATTTTTGGAAGAATTTACATGCAAACATTAGCATATTTTCTTTTGTTTTGATGACATTCAAATACCGGCCGCTAGTTGGCAGCAGTGTGTAATGGGTTTTGTTTCCACCACTGAAATGTAAATTCCACTATTATGGTTCAGATATCTCATGTTTCAGTTTGGACTATTTATTGAATTTTCCTACAATAATTTTTGTCTAAAAATCTCTAATATCGTCTGTCTGAATGTATCGCAATTTATCGTCTCCCCTGTATCGTGATACGTATCGTATCCATAATTTCACTAATACACATCGCTATTGCCGATTCCGATATGTAGGCGACATGTTCAGCCGACATGTTCAATACCTAGACATTTTCCACCTTATTTTCATGCTAAGTGTCACTAATAACATTGGTTGATGGACAAAATTTCTGAAGCTGAACCAGTTTTTGACCAACTGTTAAATCCTAGCTTCATGCACTGCTTAGTGTTACAGTCAAGACACCTAAACAAAGTTCATTTAGAGCATTTATTACGCAGATGTTATCAGTGAATGTAAAAATACATTTCAATTAAATTTTGCCTAACTTCAAATTGGCTTTACTAAGAACAAATATTGGCCGATGTATGAAAAACTGTAAAAAATCGACACAACATATCGATCTCACCATTTACGTCGGGTGGCCCTCCTGTCATCAACGGCTAGGAAAAGACAGTCACCTTTCAACATTGTTGTGACATAGCACATTCCCCAGTAAAGATATCTTATTTTTGCTTTGCTTTCGTAACTTAATGCTTTAGATCAGGCAACACATGTTAATATCAGGAAAGTCTAGCCTTTATTTCACAGTGTTACCTCTCCCTAGGGACAGCTATTAAAGGGTCAGCTGTTTTTGTTGTCAGACTGACTCCCGCAGCCTGTGCTGTCCTCATAATATCCCTCTCAGACACAACACTGATCATTCTGATTTAACTGCGCTCCCTATCTTGGTCCGGCTGGTATTTTATCCCTGGTGACTTGACTCTTTGACCTGACTACAGCGATGCACTATGTGTTAATCAGAGTCCGCCACGTTAATAAAATGTGAAGAAGTCAATAAAAGATAGTGAACCTGGAATGGATTGGGTGCCGTTGTGAGGCCCACAGGCTCCTTTTTCTGGTGAGGTACTGTTTGATGTGGCTGAAGCTCCGGGCTGCGTTTGGTTGGGGCCAGCAGACTTGTCGGCTTTCCCTGCCGAGTTCTTCAGAGCCTTGGTTCCAGCTGCCTGGCTGCTATGTGTGCAGCTGGAGGGAGAGGTTTTGGGCCTTGCACCTGGGTTTTGCTTCTTTTCCTGGTCTTTAGCTCCATGGGAGCTACTGAGACCGTTAGCGCTGGCTACATCTCGTACAGCCCCTGCAGCTCCAGTCCCATTGGCGACTGGTGTTACAGCTGATGCGGTCTTTGCTTTCGTTGCTACACTCTTGTCTCCTGGTTTCTTCACATTCTTAGCTTTGGATGCTTGACCATCTTTTGGTTTATCAACAGTGCTCAGAGCATCGGATTTCATGGCTGGTGGAGCACTGCGAGAGGCAGAGTGTTTGTTCTGAGACACTCTGTGGGTCCTGTGCGCAGGAGAACTCTCAGGCAGAGACGTGGGACATTTTACAGACTTTGACTGCAAGATAAAAATAAGCACAAGAGTCATGTTATTGTATTATCATGATACGTAGATCAGTATATAACATCACAGTCATGAGGAAGTGAATAAAATTAGACCAATACATTATTGGAAGTGATGTCTCATCTATGATATGATGAAACCTACAATCTTTCTTTTTTGTTTTACTTTTTATTTAACGAGAGATTAAAACTGACATCACATTAAGATCAGAACATCAATCTAACGTATCACACCAAAGCATAATTACTGACCAGTATCAGACCTGATCTTTATTGTTGATCTACTCACAATTTAATAGTGGATGTTGTTTATTTTTTCTATGTGGCATTGTGTTTTATTATTTTTATATATATATATCCTGCCTGCTGCAGCCCGTATGTCTGTGGCTGCAGCACCGCTCCTGCTTTCTGCCTTTCTACTTGAGGCACATGTGCAGTAGTGGCCATCCAAGTGAACCATTGCGTCACAGGAAAAAAACAAGACGGGGCAATCCGGCAAAGAAGCCCAAAAGTTTGGGGGCGTTTACAAAGATGAACGAGAAGCACGCACATTGCAAAATCTGCAAAGCAGAACTTTCCATCACAGGAGCATAATGGTGACGAAAGAACACCGGGGAGGCATGTCATGGCAGAGGACAAAAAGGGAAAGTCAGTTATGTGAGCTCATTAACTCTCGTTAGCTGCTAACACCAACAGGTAGCTACTTGTATTTATAGCTGTAGCAATAACAGTAGCACCTTTAGCACACATGTCACGTATTTGCTCTAATGTTACAAACACTAATGATTTACTGTATCCCGCTACGTTACAGAGTTAAAGTAATGCTCCTCTTCAATGGACGGGCTCATTACCAAGCACACACGCACGCCTCAAACGTTCTGACCGAGGCGGAAAGAGTACTAAAAGTTGCTCCTTAAGTACGAGTATCAATACTTTGATAATTTTTCACTCAAGTACAAGTAAAAGTACTTGCCTAAAATTTTACTCAAGTAAAAGTAAAAAGTATCGTAAATAAAATGTCCTCAAAGTAAAAGTTACTTAGTTACATTTTTGTCAGCGTAAGGATGGCTACATCTAAGTAGTGCAAAATCACAACGCAGGTTCACAATTCGCTCGTGTGCGCACACGTACGCACGCACGCACACACGCACACACGCGCACACACACACACACACACACACACACACACACACACACACACACACACACACACACACACACACACACACACACACACACACACACACACACACACACACACACACACACACACACACAGCAGCAGCATGATGTTAGAATCATTTGAATGACTAATTTAACTACATTGAACTGCTTTTGTAATACTTTAATCTCTTATTCTGGAGTAAAATAAACAAGCTAAATCATCACATATCTGTGGCATCAAGAAGCATCTTCTGAGTTCAAACACAGGGATGGAGCACAATGTTTACACCTGAACAGTACCAGGATGTTTTAACTCACGGAGGCCTGCAGGTCTTCTGTTTTATGAGCAAAGAGCAGAGAATCCGCTTGTTATGAGCGCTAAACGTTATTTTGACATTTCTAGTGGAGCGGTAGGGAGACACATTTCAAACACGGAACCGAATCTCGCTACTGAACCGAGCGGAATGCTGATGACGTAACACCGGTGCGCGTAGGTGCGGGTTCCAACCCACAGGAGAGGAAGGAGAGAGGAGGTAAACAGCGAGTGGATCACAGAGACGGACTGAACTGATGTTTTTGAGCAAAACTGCAGTAAAAATGGCTGTTTGTCCTCGTTATCAAAGGTGTAACCCCCCCCCCCCCCCCCCCCCCCCCCCCCGGGTTAAACGCGGCGCTCGTGCAGGTGTCTCTTTCTGTTCTGACGCGGCTGCACGTAATATTTTTAATTCCTTAAGCCTACAATTTATTTTTACTCAGTAATGGAATTTATTCAAAATGTAGCTAATTACAATTCTTTTTAAAAAAACATACTCAAGTAAAAGTAAAAGTACTGATTTTAAAAATGACTTAAAAAGTATAAATACACATAAAAGCTATTCAATTACAGTAATGCGAGTAAATGTAATTTGTTACTTTCCACCTCTGGCAATGACAGACATGAGACCCTTGTTGTTTGATAAGCTATTATCTTGTCTTTATTCTTAGAAGGCACATAACAGATCACATTTCAAACTAGAAGCTAATGATGGGTATATTAGAGCATCCTGGTGCAATAAGCTGCACTTTATGCACAACACGACTGGTCAACTAATCGCCAAAAAAAACTAGTGATTACCGGTAGTCGACTATTAAAATAATCTTTTTTTTGGCGGCGCTAGTCTCTTGTATGAATGAATGACTTGAGTCAATTTCTCGGGGGAAAAAAGCTCTGGCGCTCCCGCTCCAAGAACTGGAAGTGAGCCAAAGTAGAGGTGAGCTTCAGATGACAGGATTTGGAATCTTATTTCCTGATATTCAGACAGCTCTCCTCTGATTGGCTAACAGTAATGTGACTCCACTAGCGACTCTGTTTGCTCTTCAACGTTGATGTTTTATCTCCACAAACAACACAAGCTTGAAAGAGTTCTGCTGTGTGGTGGAGTTGCTAATGCTAACTGTTAGTTTCTACTAGCCGAGAAGTCCTCTGCGGTTTCCTGAACGCTAAACCAACAGCCTTCCTCGTCGTGAGCCAAGATGGGTGAGAGCATGAATGCAGATTTTTTATGCGACGTGGAACCGGATTTTCTCATTTGAGAATTTGCCCATCCATTTTTTATCAGCAGCCAATCCAGGAAATAGGGCTAGAGGACTATTTACATGTTTACATATTTAAAAATTTACAATCAAAAACAGTTTCTCAGTGAACTTGGTCTTTAATATAAATGACTCAGATTGGTATTGAGGACAAAAACACTTTTTTATTGTATTTATTGTATCTTGCATTTTTGTACAAAAATAAAAAAAAATCAAACTTCTCTTCTGTTCTGACTGCATGAACACACTTCAGTGATACTTTAGCCACTCGTGTCTAATAACAAGGACATCAGTCTCACCCATAGTACACCTGTTACAGCCTGCATGTCTGTTTGGAGAGACTCTATCACTCATTTTATTTTTTATAGTGGGGGTGGGGTATTTGTGACAAGAGCCATCTAAATGGCATGGGATAAATCTCCAAAGGGATTGTACTTATGTGCAGTAAAAGCTACCACACAAGCTTGTATCATCAGCCAAGTCAGACACTCAACACCGAATAAAGATGCAAAAATCTAAAGTAACGAATGACTGTTACCTGTGAGCTTGTGAAGACAGGTTTTTTACCAAGCCGTCGATTGTCCCCTTTGTCAATAGCTTCTGCCAAAATACCAAGAAAAAGCAAAAACTATTTCACAAACAAACCAATCAGAACGTTGCCAGCAAAAAAATCAGTTAAACTCGGAGTTCCATTCTGAAATGTACTAGATACCCAGTGGTTGTCCCTTCACCATAACAAGTCACAAACAAACATTAGTTTTTATACAGGGTAGCTGCAGGTTTAAGGGAGCCAAATTTAAGACTTTTTAAGACCTTTTTTAAGGCCACTTTGACCAAATTTAAGCTAATTTTTTTAATTAAATTTCTGCTATAATTTCCAGCTATTGCCTGGAACCGGTGTTAACCACTTCGCGAACGTAGGATTAGCCATCCAGTTACCATTAAACTTGCCCTTCCCCATGGCGCAAGCTCCCACTAGCTTAACCAGCTAATGTGCTCATCTAAAAATAGCCCCCTTTCACAACCACAACTTTTTGCCAATATCATACACAAAAAATGCTCATCACTAACTAGAAATTCACAAAAATTTCATAGAAATAAAATAATCTAGTTTATTGGGTCTTTGGTAATTTAAGAACTTTGGAAACTGTATTTAAGGATTATTTGTCACTTTTAAGGATTTTCAAGGCCTTAAATTTGGAAAAGTAAATTTAAGACTTTTTAAGACTTTTCAAGGACCCGCAGATACCCTGTTATATGAATGACACAGATGGTTGGCTCAGGATGTTATTTATTTAATCTCTTCAAATATAAACAGGATAAAACTGAACCTCCTCCGTTAGGAATCTAGTCTCACACTCATGGCACGGTAACAGGGTATCTGCAGGTTTAAGGGAGCCAAATTTAAGACTTTTTCAGACCTTTTTTAAGGCCACTTTGACCAAATTTAAGCTATTTTTAAAATTAAATTTAAGCTATAATTTCCAGCAATAGCGGTGCTAACCACGTGGCGAACGTTAGCCATCTAGTTACCATTAAACTTCCCCATGGCTCAAGCTCCCACTAGCTTAACCAGCTAATGTGCTCATCTAAAAATAGCCCCCTTTCACAACCAGCTGAATGTGTACGGTTCCGCTTACGCCGACATCGTACACAAAAAATGCTGAACACTGACTAGAAATTCATGAAAATTTTATAGAAATAAAAGAATCTTGTTTATTGGGTCTTTGGTAATTTAAGACCTTTGGAAACTGTACTTAAGGATTATTTGTCATTTTTAAGGATTTTTAAGGCCTTAAATTTGGAAAAGCTAATTTAAGACTTTTTAAGACTTTTTAAGGACCCGCAGATACCCTGGGTAAGAGGCAAACACTGGCATCAGAGACATTTCCAAACATAGCAGAGTACTATTTGTTGAATCATTTTAAGCAGATCCCAGAACAGCGGCAGCCCATTAGAAAACGAGCACAGCGCATCTGGTGCATTTACCATGGTGGTGAACACACATTAGCCAAAGAGCTTCAGACACACGGGCAGAGGGAGTCGGACGGTAAACGGGTTAGAGGTGACAACGGCCGAGGAAAATCTGCATTCATGCAGAACCATTTTGCATAAAATGAAACACAACTGTCAGAGAACGAAACGTATGAATGAATATTGTGATAACAGCATTTACCTGCTAGAATCCTCTCTCTGTGCGTGGACGACAGTGTCTCCCATCCCTGAGTGTGGCGGACCGCATAAAAGGTCTGAAGCAAGAAGGTCCAGAGCCGCCCGCGTAGCGAACAAATCTCTTGCCTGAACGGCTGGCGGTAACACAGAGAGGTAGGAGAATAATGGAAAGGGTGCGCTACAGCAGAAATGAATCAGCAGCTGCTGCCAGAACACCTTGGGGAAGAAGCGGCAGTAGTCCCGGGTGAGAACCATCTCCACGACATCTTTCAGCCCCTCCAAACCCAACATATCAGCAGCCAGCACCACCTGACTGTGACACAACAGATAGAAAAAAACAAAACAGGCTCAGCTCATTTTCTCCTCGCATGTTTTGAGTTCGGATCATCTGCTCACATAGTACCTGGCGTTGGCTCCGCTCGGCAAATCCATAATGGCTCCATACATGAACTGGAGTAAGATATCCATCTCATCTGGTCCTAAACTGAAAGAGTTAATAAAATAAGCTGTTCCCAAGCTTAGATTAACAGTGAAAATGTGTTCATTCCATCATCATGTGAGAATAAAGCCTGATTTATGCTTCTCCGTCTGCGTCAGTGCGGAGACACGCAACGCCATTATCCGTCTTCGCGTAGGGCTCCGGCAGGCACGCAAGTACGTGCGGAGCCGAGCCCACTTTTTTAAACATCCGTCGAACGAGACGGATTACGCGAGCTTGTGATTGGTCAGGACGCCGCTGTTGTTTACAGCGCCGCCATTGCAAAGAGAGCCGAGGATAACTAGCGGCAGACACGGAGCAGCTTGAAGAATACCTCGCGAAAAAACTCTAAAAATATGAACGTTTCATTCTCCCGTGACTGGAGGAGTGAAAAGATGCGCGGCAAGCGTTTTATTTGTGGACGGAAATGACAGGAAACGTGGGTTTAGAGGCGGGGAGCGCATGAAGCGGTGGGAGAATGAGAGACAAATATGTCCGTGTTAAAAGTCTCTTATATACACAAAAAACACAATATAAACACACCATCTTGGACCGATACATGACAGGATACCACAGAACAGCGCTACGCCCTCTGCTGTCCTGCCGGGCAATTGCTTTGCAACACTCTCCAGGAGACGGAGAAGTATGAAAGCAAAACGCTTCCGTCAATCCGTGCGTGTCTGTGCCTCGCGGAGCTGACGGAGAAGCATAAACCAGGCTTAACCCTCAAACGCAACAGAGTCCTGTAAACCTGGACCACAGCTCAGTACATGCATCTGCTGCCTGACAACCACTTCAAAGGCCTCCCCTGCATGCCAGCACAGCTACTCTCCATTCTGACAGTCGTGTCATCCTCAGTTACCCACAGATCAGTGATGCTGGGACGATTCCTCCCTGGAGGAGTGAAACTGCCTTTGCTGCACTGAAAGAATCAAACTGTGGGCGGTAGATATGAGGAAGAGTAATAAGGGCTCTTCAGCTGGCTGTGAACAGGAGGCATTTATCTGTGTCACAAAGAGAGAGTTGGTAGAAATCTAGAGACTATTAGAGATTCACCACCTGCAGATGGTTGTGTCTACGCCTGTTTGGGTTGGTGTCTGTTAATACGTAGAAGCTCAGCTGTATTTTCCTAGCCCGACACGAGGGCTGGTTAGACCAGGAGTCATCATGTTGCTAGGTGATGATGGTGTACCAGTCTTACCCTTGCAGAGTGATGCACTGTCTGGAGCTCTCCATCCAACTTCCACTGAGCATAGCACGGAAGTACTGAGATCGAGCACAGAGGATTGCCCTAGAAACCCAATAAAGCAGAGCTGCATGTCAGACCCATTCATCATTTAATACTTCACCTCCTCTGTTCGGATTCTATACACCAAGATTGTTGAGAGCTAAGAATATTGCCATGGAGCAAAGTTTTAAGAAGGACTTGAATGAAAATGTATCATAAAGATTTCTCCCTGGCTTATTGTGACATAAAATCAGATTCATTTTAATTTTAGTCCCTCTTTGCCACTAAAATGCCAAAGAAGGCTGTAGAGTGCCTTGGAAAGTCCAGCAGCATCATCGCCGTGTGCTAAAGGCGATCCAGCTGTGGGATCCGGGCTCCACCTGCACAGAGCTGCTCAGAAATGGCAGCAGAGGGGTCAGAGTGCATCAGCAGAACAGTGAGAGGAAGACGTCTGGAGATTTGTGTTGTTTTCGACTGGCACATGATGCCCCCCCCCCCCCCCCCCCTTTTTATTTTATTTATTTACAGCGCTGCATTCAGATAACCATCAGCTCATTCTACTGCCATGGAGATCACAGCTGCACAAGAACCAGAACATATCCCACCCTCAGAAGCGGAGAAAACTTGTATCCATGGTTACCAGTTGCTACCATTACCTGAATCACTAGCTGCGTTTACATGTGCCAAATTTCCTCAATCCGATTGAAATCTTGGTTGATCGGAATTTCCGAATCTCTGTTCACATGGACACGAACTGAAATGATCCGATCGTGCCGTGCGTACATACGCACCAAGCGTTTAATCCGAATAAGTAGGTTGAGCATGCGCAGAGTTGCCTTTCCCGAAAGAAAAATTGTAAACAAACGCCATGAAACGAAATTAAAAATGAAAAAACAAAAATAACTATTCTTCCCGCTTTCCTGATCCATTTATTCAATTTAATATTTTTATTTAGCTCATAGAAGTTACGTTTTCTTCAGTGAATAACTGCAGATCTATGCTTTGCTGCATTTTATTGTTGATTAAAATAAGGGAGGGTCATGTTTCTGCCTCTTGATCAGCTGGTCCGCGGGTCTGAAGTGACAGCTGTGCTGCTGCGCTGCGGCACAGAGCGGGGGTGGGGTGGGGGGGTTGGACTCATGTTTTATTACTGAGCTCTGTTGTGGCTTATTATTAATAACATGTGACAATCAGCTGAAACTGTTGAGAAAAATCTGTTCAAACTAAATAACAGAAGATGTTCAGAAAGTTTAGAAGCCCGTGTTCATCATTAACGAACCGCATCTCGGGTCGTCTGCGTTTACGTGCTTCTAACACGGACTTTGCTGTCGTCCAGAGTATTTAACCGAGGACATTTTCCTACCCAACATCAGCCTCCAATCAGGTCTGTAAAACCCAGATTATCCTGTGTTCTCTACAAGCGCGTCTCCATCACCTGCTGCAGAAGCTGCTGCGTTCAAAGCTGACAGAAACGGGGATCCGTGCGCTGCAACCCCCGCGATAAACCCGCGTATTTCCAGTACAGATTTGAACATGTTTGTCGAAGGATTTGTGCAATAATCAGATTTTTATTTTACTTCCACAAAATGCAAGTTCTGAATTAAATATTACCGAAACGGGGACGGCTTGTCGTCGGATTTAAAAGCCGCCGCTCGTAAATTACGCCGTCATTTTTTAAGTCAGGCAGCGGAGAGACCCGCTCGCTGTTGCACGCATGCGCAGTGGGCATTATTTTACCCCAACAATCCGAATGGCTGTGTGCACGTCAATCGGAATGATGAACGGAATAAACCAACCCTCTCAATCGGATTGAAATTTCAATCCGATCGGGTCGAATCGGATCAGAATATTCCGATTGACATGTTTACATGCAGATTTTTCGATCCGATTGGGCATTCAATCCGATTAAATAAGCGCATGTAAACGTGGCTACTGAATTACCACCTTGGGCAACAGTACATGTTCAACCACCTTCTAGCTGTGCTCACAGACAGACGAGACCATTCAGACTTTGTTTCATTCAGCTACATGTCCTTTCAATAAACATTTATAATCCAGAAATAGAAAGACACAAAGGTTTTTACTACACTGTAGACACATTGCTTTTAATAACATTTGGAAGGAAACAATGAGTAATGGAGTGTTAAGGTTTCAGAACGGTATCTAAAAGTCACACGTTTCAAAAATAGGAAATAAAACACATCCTAAAAAGTGACCTGAGAGATGCATCGTGCTTCAGCTGATGACAATTTCTGCCAAAGGCTCTTAGGGAATGACCTCATTGGTGCAGAAATAACACGTGTGTCCGTCACAATTTCAACACAAGACTTTTTATTTGCTATGTAAAGTTTAAAAACTATGAATGTAACTCTAATGTGGAGCTTGATGGCGGTTTAGTCTAAGTTCTAGTTCCTGATGCAGTGACCTCTAAAGGAGCAGACCATGATCATAAACTAAGTTAAGGCCTCTGAAAAGGTTTTATTTATTCATTCAGACCATCCAAGATTATTTCTGATACACTAGGCTGCCATGCTACCACAAACAGCTTTACCTGTGGCAGGAGAACACCTGCTCCATCACTTGGATGGTGATGTCACACTGTTCTCCTCTTTGGTACAGATCCAGCAGGTCAGCACCAAGGCCAGAGGCCGGCTCAGGACCTGGACACAGGTTCAGATGGAGAAAAACTGGTAAAAGAAACACACTTTAGGACTTTAATCTGTTGGAAAAGAACATTTGTATAGATCTCCTGTGTGAGCTAAAAGTAAGAAACATAAAATGAATCTTGACCTCTTTGCAGCTTCAGTCATGCTGTAAATAGCAGTAACAACATGGGTCCAAATCCAATCAGCTTTTAAGTGGATTATGACTCAGACAACTTATTGTGAGGGAAAAGGATGGGAGTGTGTGTGTGTGTGTGTGTGTGTGTGTGTGTGTGTGTGTGTGTGCGTGTGATCATACAACCCAGAATAAACCTTTATAAGTTATTCCAGGGTATTTGCAGGTTTAAAGGAGCCAAATTTAAGACTTTTTAAGACCTTTTTTAAGGCCACTTCGACCAAATTTAAGCTATTTTTTAAATTAAATTTAAGCTATAATTTCCAGCTATTGCCTGGAACCGGTGCTAACCATGTTGCAAACGTGGGATTAGCCATCCAGTTACCATTAAACTTGCACTTCCCCATGGCACAAACTCCTAGCTTAACCAGCTAATGTGCTCATCTAAAAATAGCCCCCTTTCACAACCAACTGAATGTGTACGGTTCCGCTTACGTCAACATCGTACACAAAAAATGCCGAACACTAGAAATTCATGAAAATTTAATAGAAATAAAAGAATCTTGTTTATTGGGTCTTTGGTAATTTAAGACTTTTTAAGGATTATTTGTAATTTTTAAGGATTTTTAAGGCCTTAAATTTGGAAAAGCCATTTTAAAACTTTTTAAGACTTTTTAAGGACCCGCGGATACCCTGTATTCTGGTTACCTGAGCCAGGGGAAGTGCAGAGATCTGCCGGGTCTGGAGAGGAGCTCTCTGATGAAGGTCCCTCTGAGTTCCTCTCAGCTGTTCTCATGCTCTGCTCTGCTGTGTACACACACCTGTGGGGGCAAGGCTCTGTGTTAACTAAATCTGGACCTTTCATTTACATTTGAACGACAGGCTCATCTGAGGTAGTGACTCCGGGCTGCATGAGTTTTTTTTCTCCAGCATAAACTCCTACCGTCTCTGTGCTCATCACTCTTTTAAGCACGCCTGTAGTCGCCCTTTTTATCAACTAGTCGACTTCACTGCCCTGTGCCACCTTTTATGCCTTTCATCGACTAGACGCTGTCACGTGATAATGACCGACAAGCTGCAGTCCTCGGAAAAGACAGCAGGTGATGAGCCCCTGCGCGTCGGGAGGCGACGCGCTGTGCCAGAGTGTCGGTATCTGACACCCGCCGTAAAACGGACATTTGACCAAATTGTGAGTTTTACCCTCTTGCAAGTTAACCTTCCCCTCACCCCCATCCTAACCTTAACCAGCTTGCGCATGCAAAGCTCTGATCGTTGACGCGCTCCAGACATCTGCGTCCTGAGCACGGCCACAGTAACATTATCAAATCAGGTGTCGCCACCTCAAAAACTAATTTAACACGCAATCGTTCATGTCGGCTCATTTCCTTTTATGTTTTCTGTCTTTTATTTGTGCCTGATGCGTGTCGCTGCTGTGGATCGGGGCGCATCACCCGTTTTGTCCTCTGGTGACGCACCACACTGATGAGGCCGGCGAGCACTCCTCTGTTTTTGCGGTCGGTAGATCTTTTAGAACTGCAGCTCAAAGGTAACTCATGAGGTGAATATATATGAACCCAGGTAGCAGTTTTTCTTTAGGATTGAGAGGAGATGCAGGAAGATAATAAACAGACAGGACAGAAAAATAGTCAAATAAGAACAAGTTAGTTTTTGTACCTGCTGGTTGCAACAAACAGACACCATTGAAGGTAATCAGAAGTGAGGAACAGAACATGAAATAATTATTTTAATGTTTAGAGCAGCAGGAACTCTGAGAGGCTGCAGGCGCATCAGTGAGTTTGCGGCTGCTGCGCAGGGGGAGGGGGAGAGGGCTGAAGCAGAGACTACCGTTGTTAAAAGAAATGTGTTTAACTTTGAAAATGTGGGCTCAATTTTAATTGTCAAAAACTCCAGCAAACCAACTGACCACCCCGGAAAAAAACGCTTGGTCACCCATCGTCAGTTTTAGCCGCTTCAGGTGTGTGACGTCATCAACGACTAGTCGAACTCGACTTGATTTTCATTACTTGATGTGGCGTTTGATGGCGTTACATTGTAGCAATAGTATCACAAGAACGCTTCCACGGTATCATCACTTTTGGAAAAGGGAGTGGCCAGTCCAGCCACGGCTGTGCTAAGCTAGGATGTTTATATGCTGAGAAATTAGGTTTTCTAACCACATTATCCGAGTACCTCAGTTCCATTAGGAGTTAGAACAAAATAAAGAAAACAATATTTTACATAGCGCCTCTGAAGATAAAAATCCCAAGGTGCTTCACGAGAACAAAAATATAAAAAATAAAAAAGATTCACAAATGTGAGGAGAGTAGTCCGGTTGAGTTTGACCTCAGTGGGACTAAGGTGTTTACATGAATTTAAAAAGTCTGATTTTAGTCAGACTATGGCAATAATTTAGTTTTCTCTTATTGCATGTGAATGCACTAATGAGCACAGAAACCCAAGTTACCTGACTGGTAACTGGCAACCCTTGTTGCCTGATGTTAAACAGGACCACCACAGAGGAATGAATTAATCTGCTAATCAAACACAACCAGTTTGTTGCAGTTGGAACTCGCTGGTTCTGACAGGCAGGCTGTTGTTTCTGTATTTGTGTTTATTAGATTATTACTGGAAAAATAAACTCTAGTCTCTCCACAGCACAGTCTAATTCTGTCAATCCCCACACCAAATTAACACACACCAGTATAAATGAGAAATATATGGCGCCCCCTGTCAGACAGACACAGAAACACAACCCAGGTAGGAGAAGTTTCATCTGAAGCTTCTTCAGGAACGCAAGAGAACCCTCCTCTGTAGAACACCGATCATCTAAACCAGGCAGGTCAAGGTTTGTCTCTACAACACATAAAACAATCATGGCTGGCCAAAGTGACTTAAAGGGTTTAAGATTAACAACTTAGCAACAGAATGACCATCATTATAACAAACTATGAACGAGTAAATAAAACTGAAGGAACAAGAGAAAATAAGCCAATTAAAACTATTGAATACAAGTCAAGCTCTTCTGTTTAAGAAATGGGTTTGCAGCATGGATTCAAAATAATCCTCAGCTTTAACTGGTAAAAGTCATCTCTTGTATGAATTTGGACCACTGACAAAAAGGTTTGGTCACTTCTGGTTCTGACTCTGGATCTGGAAAAGCAGCCGATTCCCGTTCTGACAGGTGAGGTGGTGCTTCAACTGCTAAACTCTTAAAAACAAGCAGGAAATGGTTACGCTGATTCCTGTTCTGGACAGGAAGCCAACTCTAGGGGGGCTGAGGCAGGTCTGATATCGACCTTTTGCACGTGACGTCACGCCACTCATATGACCGCCCCCTTCGCCATGATGGACGGCAAAAAGACCGTTTACACCCGTAGAAACTCCAGTGAAGCTAGTCAAAACAAGCCTGTTTGTAGCCTTTTATCGCTTTTATTTAGTTGATTTGACAATAAAATGGTTTTAGCTTGCTGCGTGGTCGGCTGCACTAAGAGACAAGGACGTAAACTCAACTCGTTTTTTCTTTTTAATAACTTTGATGGAGACTGAGGACGGAGATGAACTGCAGCGATCAATCAAGCAGACTAGCAGGCCTCAGATTGGCAGCGAACGTGTTTTTACCGGGTAAGATTAACGTTAATTTATTTCACGAGGAAGACAGGGACAGGGATAAATGTGATGTGTTTATACAAGTTATTGATAATCCTGATGGACGAGTATTTCACCACGGAGGCTGCGCTCCGACAACTGTAGTGTAAAGCGAGACAATTATTAACAATATTAAAGCTCTGATGTATAATTACGTGTGTTAAAATGATGTTATTTATTTATATGAGCGTCGGCGTTCAGAGATCTTCTCATTCCGGTGTGAGAGCAGCAGCTGAACCCGGTAACACCACCAGCAACAGGAGCTGGTAGGGATCCGGACTTTTAATCAGAATCAGAAAAGGTTTATTGCCATTGTCAGTGAACAAACAATTCACAAACTAGGAACTTGCTTCGGTACTAACGTGCTACATATAACATGAATAATAAGATTAAAAATAGAATAAAATAGAATAAAACTTTCAGCGATAGAAAAAGGCAGGTAATGTTAACATGGCTGATAACGTGATGTTATGTCAAGTACAGCAGACGAACATGGTTGTGTGATTATAAGCTGTTCACAAGTCTAACGGCAGATGGAAAGAAGCTGTTCTTATGGCGGGAGGTTCTGGTCCGGATGGACCGTAACCTCCTGCCTGAGGGAAGCGGCTCAAAAAGTCTGTGACGCGGGTGAGAAGGGTCAGCTGCTGTCCGACCTGCACGGCCCCGAGTTCTGGAGACGTACAGGTCCTGGAGAGATGGAAGGCTGCAGCCAATCACCTTCTCAGCGGAGCGCACAATGCGCTGCAGTCTATATTTGTCCCTCACCGTGGCTCCAGCGTACCACACAGCGATGGAGGAGGTGAGGATGGACTCAATGATGGCCGTGTAAAACTGCACCATCATCTGGGCCGGCAGCTTGGCCTTTATCAACTGCCGCAGAAAGTACATCCTCTGCTGGGCCTTTTTGATCAGGGAGCTGATGGATGGCTCCCACCTAAGGTCCTGTGTGATGGTGGTTCCGAGGAAGCGGAAGGAGTCCACAGTGGTGACGGGGGTGTCCGTCAGGACGAGGGGGAGAGATGGGGCTGTGACTTTCCTGAAGTCCACAATCATCTCCACTGTCTTCTGAGCATTGAGCTCCAGGTTGTTGCTGCTGCACCAGTACACCAGCCGTTCCACCTCCCTCCTGTAGGCGGACTCATCACAGTCAGAGATGAGCCCGATGAGGGTGGTGTCGTCCGCAAACTTGATCAGTTTAACGGAGTCATGGCTCGAGGTGCAGCAGTTTGTGTACAGGGAGAAGAACAGAGGAGAAAGTACACAGCCCTGTGGAGATCCTGTGCTAATTGTCTTAGTGGTGGAAACATTCTTCCCCAGCCGCACGCACTGCCTACGGTCCGTCAGGAAGTCAGTGATCCACCTTGGGTGTAATTGGGCATAAACAATCAGCTTTGGTGTAAAGTGAAACGCTGTTTACAACCTAAAGTTATAAATCCAGAGGGGTGAATTTAGGCAAAGTCAGCGACATGTTTACATCGGTGAACAGCTGCAGAGAGAACGTAAGCTAACGTTGGTAAGCTAGTTAGCAAACCGCTCTCTATGAGCCCCCGCTAGATGCGCTACTTCTTCTGATAACTGAACTGGGCATGAGCTAGTGGAAGGAATGCTGGAGGAGTTTTGTTTTTGTTTTGATCGCGAAAACAATTTCAGGCTCTACTTTCCCCTTCGTTTAGAACTCGTGTCGCTCACCGTTTACATGCTTTTGCCGTCCAGCATGGTGGACCCACGTGATTAGGTGACGTCGGTGCAAAGGGTCACTACTCAGACATGAAGAAGCTGCATTCTGTAAAACCTGCAGACATCTCTGATCAAGAGTCAGTGATCCAAACGAAACACAGAAACACCATACCAACCACAACATGCAGTCTTAGCTGGATGGTTGGCGAGTCAGTGAGAGAACAAAGATGCATCAGGAGAACGTTCCTCACGAGGAGTGAGTGATGCTTCTGTCTGGATCTACCTACAGATCCAGATGCTCATGTGTGACTTTCACCTGGCAGCAGCTCCTATTTCTACCTCAGGTAGGAAATCATCTTCAGTTCACGTCTTTAAGCCGAACTACTAACCCTGGATTTTCATTACGGGGGACAAAAAGCTGTGGTCCTGCAAAAGCTGCAGTCCTTTATGAGGCTCTTTGAGAAATTATAGAGGCCCACCTGAGGAAATCTTTCAATGCAGGCAGATCATAACCCGGCAGATGGACGATGATGGGGTCTTTCTGAGTCTGACCCTGCAGGATGTGAGGAGTTCTGGCCAGCAGCACGGCTCTGTGAGCTCGGAGTGGACCAGAACCTGCATACAGTGAAACATCTGCCTCCAGTTCCTCCTGCAGCAACCTGAACAAACACAAAGAGTCAACTCTCACAAACTTCACATCACAGCAACATTTATACTAAGCTCAAACAAAAAAAGGATTTCTTTTTCTTCTCATGTTAGACACGCATTTGAAAACCATCAATAAATAAAAGTGCAGCCAGGTTCTTAAAAGATTCATGGGATGGCCCATTTTCCCACTTCAGGATAATAACGCAACTCCTGAGGCAGTCCAGTTCATCCCAACAATCACCGTATCTGGTCCTGCCAAGCTGACTGATCTGGGTGACCCAGAAACCAGCAGCCTTCAGGCCAGGCCCGCATTAAGATTTTTAAATGCTGGTGTCACATTCTTCCTGTAATGCAAACAACAAAAAACCCTGACAGGTCTCTTTTTGCAGCTCAAATCAGGGCTGAACCACGAGAATCATTAATCATTTAAAAAAATCATTCTTTCATTTAATCACAATCGATGGAGTTTGTACATTTTACTGATTATATCCTAAAAGGCTCCTGGTACATCAGTGGCGTAGAGAATCCTACATGAATTCATCCTGAAAAACTGCAGACTGGACTTGTTTCTCAGAGAGACGGTTTATTCATGTTCAACACATCTGAGATGAGCTCCTGCAGGGCTGATACGTGGAGTTGTGTGAGTGTTGGTTTTCAGTGTGATTACAAAATAAAACTAATTACTTTGGAGGTTTTTGTTACACTTTTATAAAAACCTTTCTGAATCGGATCTTCTAGCATTTTGCTCATTCCAGCTGACTTTCTTTGGCCGATTTCAGGCAGACTCCTGAAAAGCATTAATCGATTTCTGTTTATCCAAATCTGAGTGAAGGAGCCCAGGAGGGAAACCCGGACCTCCCTTTCACCAGTAACACCCTCCAACTCCTAATGAAGAATCCCAAGGAACTCCCAGTCCAGAGAGGATCTTTACCTCCACCAACACGTTCTGAATCTGTCTCAGGTTCTCTTCCCAGTAGGACACTCCTGGAAAACATCCAGAAGGAGGCGACCTGATCAGATGCCCTAACATCCTCAGCTGACTTGTTTTGACGACAGATCTCCTCTCCCCATCTCTGAGGCCGAGGCCGGTCATCTTCAGCTGGGACCTGGTCCAGTGTAGACGAAGCAGTAAAAAGAGAGCTTTGGCTTTCAGATCAACTCTTTCTTCACCACAACAGAGCAGAGCAACACTCTCATTCCAGCAGAAGAAGCTGCCATTGCATCTCTACCATCCCTCAGGATGCTTGGACTGCTCTGCCTGAAGCAGACTTATGGGCTCGACACGCAGGAGGCGACAAACGACCGTGATCAGCGAAATTAGTCGCTGTCGCTTTTATTACCGGACACACGGGAGGCGACCCGCGGCAGCGGCAAAGCCGTTGACGCGTTCTGCTCCACGACGAAATCGAATCTTCTGTTGTTTTGATTGGCTGTGTCAGGTTGGAGGGAATTAAGGTTATTTAAGCCGGCGGTTCAGAGTTGAAAAAGTGGTAGATATGATGTTTCACAAGGTGCTGCTAGTCGTGTGAAATCTTACTTCAGATTTTACTATATAAAAAAAAAACCCTAGAATGGGTTCATCCCATATCTCTGACATATCAAAATGGATGAAATCCCACCATCTCCAACTCAACCCCTCTAAAACTGAATTACTTGTCATCCCAGCAAAACCATCCATACAGCACAATATCTCAATCCAGAATGACTTCCTATCTCTGGCTCCTTCAAAGGCAGTTCGAAATCTGGGTGTTGTGATTGATGAACACCTGACCTTTAAAGATCATGTTGCCTCTGTTGCTCATTCATGCCGCTTTGCGCTGTACAACATACGAAAGATCAGACCATACCAAACAAAAACATGCCACCCATCTCCTGGTGCACTCTACTGTCATCTCCTGCCTCGATTACTGCGATGCCCTTCTAACTGGTCTTCCAGCCTGTACTGTGAGACTTCTTCAAATGGTCCAGAACGCAGCGGCGCGTCTGGTCTTCAATCAGCCAAAAAGAGCACACGTCACCCCTCTGTTCATCAAGCTCCACTGGTTACTGCTAGCAGCACGCATCAAATTCAAATTGCTAACACTAGCATACAAAGTCCGAGATGGTACGGCTCCCATCTACCTGAATCCTCTTGCAAAGGCTTACGTCTCGGCCCGGCTGCTCCGGTCATCACAGGATGGTCGGCTAGCAGTGCCTACACCACGCTCAGGACAATCCAGACTCTTCTCATGCATCGTTCCACAAATGTGGAATGACCTACCAAGCACTACCAGAACAGGGGCTTCCTTTTCAATTTTCAAGAAACTCCTGAAGACCCTGCTCTTCAGGAGCAGCACCTTCCCTGCACCCATCCCCCCTCTCTACTGTCCACTCCTTGTTCCCTCCTCTCCATGACTGATGTCAATGTTGTTGTTGTTACTGTTGTTAGCCTCAAGGGCAAAATGCCGATTATCACTTGTAAGTCGCTTTGGACAAAAGCGTCTGCTAAATACATAAACATAAACATAAACATCCCACATTACAAACCAGGAGAGGGCTACTCTCTGTCTATCAGGCTTCAATTTATCACACAGTTTGGACCTCACATTAAGACGAACACAGTCACAGAAGGATAAACGGAGTCCATGTTTGCTCGGAGATGTACGGAGCATCCTGTCCACTCATTGGTCAGTGAATGAAACCTCCGTTGATTGGTCCTCGTCCGAGCGACAGTGATGAAAAGTTGACAATATTTCAACTTTTTGGGATCGCGTCGCTGGGTCGCCTGTGCACGACACGTGCACGAGCGCAAAATTTCACACGCACGTTTTTCGCGTTTCGCTTGGTAGGAGGGAGACCCGCGATTATCGCTTTGTCGTGCATGTCTCATTGAAAATGAATGGAGGAGAGGCGATGTCGCCTCCCGTGTGTCGAGCCCAATACTCCCTGCCTGAAGACCTGGAGGAGCTCACTCCCATCCAGACAGCTTCACACTCGGCTGCAATACTGACGATCATGGCCTGAATACACCAACAAAACCACATCGTCTGCAAAATGCAGCCAGGAGATTCTGAGATTCCCGAACCAGAGCCCCTCCTCTCCACAGCTACGCCTCTCATCCTTTAAAATCTGGGAGCTTCTTTTTACTTGACTGCGTTAAGGAGTCTTCAGAAATTACCAACTTTCTTACAGACTCTACTGAACTAATACGAATGCACTTTGTAACGGCATATGCCTTACCTGTTAAGGTCTGCAGACAGAGCGGATGATAGACACCTCTTCAGATTCTCTTTGTATCTCCGCTCCTTGGACTGGAACTCTCGGGCGCTCTCATTGTTGAACATGGTTTAGACTTTCTTCTGCAGAAGAAACACAAGACACTTCAGGTTAGAAACGTTACACAAAGAAAGATGAGGCGAGTCATTTAAATGGCGTTCCGATTACAGTAGGCTAGGGCGGTATTACAGTATTACCGTACACATGCAGTGTTAAAAAAAATAGCTGTGTCAGTTCCAACAGTACTGTCTATATAAAGCAGTGCATGTAAGAGAGAAAGTTAAAAAAAACATAAAAATAATAAAATACACAATAAATAAAAGTGATTTAATGTATAAAATGGATGCGTGGTTGAAGTTTCAGTTTTACTTAAAGAGCGAGTCCCCCCCCCCCAAACTTACATTATGATGTCACAATGTCGTGAGCCTGTGTGTGTGTGTGTGTGTGTGTGTGTGTGTGTGTGTGTGTGTGTGTGTGTGTGTGTGTGTGTGTGTGTGTTTGTTAGCGGCTCTGCCCTCTTGGTCTGCCAGGCAATAGCATTTGTTGCAATTTTCAAAGATGAAGTGGGGGTGGAGCCTGGCAGACCAAGAGGGCGGAGACGCGCACACACACACACACACACACACACACACACACACACACACACACACACACACACACACACACACACACACACAGGCTCTCAACAAAATCATAATGTACCAGCCAGCGTCAGAGTGTACCTCTTAGCCAACAGCGATGGCAGATTTAAATTCAAATGCAGTTTTTACCTTAAGAGGGTGCAGCACTGACAGTTTTAGGCAGAAGATTAAAATTTGAACTAAGCTGTACTAAAGTACCAAGTTACTGACTACAGGTGTCTACAACACGATTAGACACTCATTAACCATACTGACCCGAATATTAGATGAGTTTTTTTTTCATTGAAAATTATTTTAAAATGTGGGGTCGTCTTATAATCGGGGTCTACGCATTCACACATGCTGACATTTTGCTGGGGTGATTACATGCCAGTAACAGCAGAGGGCGCCAGGCTGTGTGTTCTCAACAGGAGAAAAAAATGGAGATGAGAGGTCCAGAGCAGAGTGGACCGAAAGTGGGGCAAGTTAACAAGCTATAAGGCAGTTACGCAAATTTTAAGATGACGGTGGCCAATTCAGCAGAGGCCTCAAACACGGATACATTGGAAGGCAGTACGGATGATGTTCTGGGAGGAGTTGACAGGTGTAGTGATCTGATGGTACACCGAGACCACAGCAGCACGAGAGTGACTGAGTACAGCAAGGCAGAGGGCGTCTGAATAAAAGCCTCACTTGACTTTTGATTTCACATGTCAGCAAAGTTATGATAGTTTGCTTTAAAATTGTATTTTTGCTCAATATTTGTTCTCAAATTTTCAATAAAAATTGTTTATCTAAAAAGTGATTTTTTTTGTCTTTTCCTAAAGATTAGTCTTGGAAAGGGGGGTCGTCTTATAAATCGGGATGCCCTATATTCGGGTCAATATGGTATACTGTATAGTTTATCAGCAAAAAAGTTGATTTCGGGGTGACTTGTTCTTTAAATGGTTTAAAATGTTTTGTCCAACTTTTAGAGACGTTTCATAAAGTTTATGAATGTGATGTCATCACGTGACAGCGCCAAGAGAAAAATGGCAGCTCACGCACCAGCACCAACTTTTGGAGTATTTCTGGTTCGAAGCAAAGGAGAGCCGGTAAACACTGACAAACAAAAGATGACTGCGAAAGATGAAGGCCCCGTCGGCACAGCAGAGGAGTGAGTCATGGCTGAAATAGCAGCCTTCTGTTTGGAGCCTGTTATTAAAAAAGATGAGGACGCGCTTTTCTGGTGGAGAACATGCAGCCATTCTTCCCCAGATGTCGCGACTAGCCCCAAAGTATCTGGGTGTTTGTGCCACAAACTCATCATAGCAGGTTTTCAGCAGTCGGTCCAGAACGGTTCAAGCTGGTAAAAGTAAACGTGCCGAGTTGTCAGGCAAAAAAATCTTTTTATAAGCTGCTTTTTAAAAAAGTTTTTAATATTATGTGTTTTATGTTGTTATTGTTTTAGTAACATAGTTTATTTTTCGGTTTCTGAAAGGTGAAGATCCAAACCATCAGTTTGGTGATTCCAAATGAGGCTTATGTCATCATTTTAAATTAGTCCCGATAATACCGTACACCTTGGTAAAATGTGGAGGAAGCTAGATGTACTCAGATTTGAATACCGCCCAAGCCTGAACTCAACTGATCAACTGATATTGTTTTTTCTATTGCCAGTACCGATGCCGATGAGTAGGAGACATGATTGTCCGATGGCCAATATGTAATGCTAATTTTTTGGACCAATTTTCGTGGCCAATACTAGAAGTTTTCCACTTTATTTGCTTGCTAATATGTCACTAGTAACATCAGTTGGTGCACAACATTTCTGAAGCAGAATCAGTTTTTGAACTCTGAATTTAGCCAACAGTTAAATCATAATTTTGTGCGCTGCCCAGTGTTAAAATCAGACATCTAAATAATGTTAATCAAATAAAAAAATAAAATACCCAAGAATTAAATATTCAAAACTGGTAAAAATAAATAAATAAATAAATAAATGAAAATAATTTTTTAAAATAATTTTTAGAGCATTTATTATGCAGATGTTATTCAGGAATGTAAATATTCCTTTTAAATTAAGTTTTAAAACAGCACCGGGCTGCCCAGGGATGTGCCTGACTTTATATTGGATTTACAAAGGAGATACATCGGCCAATGCCAATATATTAAAATACAGTAAATATCGGACCGATATATCAACCGACTGATATAATGGTCTACCCCTAGTTCCAACACTATTCCCATTTTAAATGTTATGCTTTTGTCAATGATGAAAACATGGAAACTGAGTTTTGGACTATTTTTTCTCCATGCTCTAAACATTCTGTAGGATAAGAATGATGAAAGGAAAAATGGTATTTTTAAAAGGTTGTTTATTCTTCAAGTGTTCAAATCTGGGAGCTGTGAAAATGTAATCCATCCTTTATTATAGCATGATATATATCATTAATCAACTGTGATTAAACACATTATGTGGAAACCTGAGACCAGTTTCATCAACCTCACCCAGGCCTCGATGACTACCAGACCTGTAGATATCATTGTTATAGAACCTGTCTGAAAACATGAAGATTTTAAAAAGGAACATGTGCCTGAAACAGAGTACAGAACCCAGAACAACAGTTAAAGCACAGCAAGTTCCCTTGATTGAGGTTAAAGATCAAGTTCACTAAGAAACTGTAGTTGTTTAGAAATATGATCAGTCACTATGAGTTTGACACGCTGGCTTATGGGCTCGGCACACGGGAGGCGACAAACGACCGCAATCAGCGAAATTTGTCGCTGTCGCTTTTATTACCTGACACACGGGAGGCGATCCGCGGCAGCGGCAAAGCCGTCTACGCGTTCTGTTCCATGGCGAAATCGAAACTTCCGTTGTTTTGTTTGGCTGTGTCAGGTTGGAGGGAATTAAGGTTATTTAAGCGGTTCAGAGTTTAATAAAGTGGTAGATATGATGTTTCACAAGGTGCTGCTAGAGTTATGTGAAATCTTACTTGTGATTTTACTATAAAACATAATAATAAACTTCTCCTCCATGTTTGCTCGGAGGTGTACGGAGCATCCTGTCCGCTCATTGGTCAGTGAATGAAACCTCCGTTAATTGGTCTTCGTTCGAGCGACAGCGATGAAAAGTTGAAAATGTTTCAACTTTCTGGGATCGCGTCGCTGGGTCACCTGTGCACGACACGTGCACGAGCGCAAAATTTCACACGCACGTTTTTCGCGTTTCGCTTGGTAGGAGGGAGACCCACGATTATCGCTTTGTCGCGCATGTCTCGTTGAAAATGAATGGAGGAGAGGCGATGTCGCCTCCCGTGTGTCGAGCCCATAAATGTGAAAATAGGGTGTTCCTCAATGTCACGGCACCTGGCCTAGCAAGGTGATGTCTTGCTAGGCCAGGCGCTTTGCTTGCAAGGACGCTGTCCTTCCTTGGTCAAAGAAAACAGTTTAATGGAACAGACTTACCTCACGTGACCGCGGCTCCCGCAGCAGTCACGTCACGTGACACGTGAGGTAACGCTATATTTTATAAGTTTCAATATAAACATATAACGAGACTCTTACTTTTTATTGTGTATAAATTGGTTAAATTATATATGTAAGCGAGTTACTACCTGCTAGCCACCAAAGCTGCAACTACTATGCAACTAACCAACCAAAGCTAACTGCTTTGGATATAAAATAACATTTTCGAAATCAGCCCGATAACTACAATTAGTTGACTTACATTTAAACAGGAATTTTGCATCCGAAGTAGCTGCCGGCTCCTGATTTGTCATTCTTTTGAAAAAAGGCAGGCAAGGTTCCTTGACACTGAGAAACACCCCTCACATGGATCCTTGGTCAGCTAGTTAAATGGCAAACAAATGAAGAACAGACGCCTCGGTAGCACATGAACATTGGAACACGCCTTGGTGGTTCCTGATGACGTATCTCCTAGGCAACCGGGCAGAACCAAGACATCAAGACGAGGTTCATTGACACTTAGAAACACCTATCATCTTCTACCCCTATTTTCTGCTTTAGCCACTGATAGAAAATAATTGGGGGAAACGCTCGATCAGATTAGAAAAGCCAGTCAATCTCATGTCATAAAATTCACTCCGTTTTCATGCAGGCTGAACATGAAAATAGTCTCCCACACCTATCTCCTGCATTAGCTTCTGATCCTGAAAATCTAGGATTTGAAAATCCTGACAGATCTCTGTCAAACTGTCAGTTAGCATGCATGGCTCACTCATCTTGGCTTGTGACAGGAAAGGCAGTTGTTGGTTTAGTGCCCAGGAGAGAGCAGAGCATGTTTCAGCTAATAGAAGCTACTAACAGTTAGCATTAGCAACTCTACAACGTGGCAGAACTCATTCAGGCTTGCGTTGTTTGTGGAGATAAAACATGCACGGTGCAGAGCAAATGGAGTCAAAGGTAGAGTCACGTTGCTGTTAGCCAATCAGAGGCGAGATGTCAGGATATCAGGAAATAAGACTCCAAATCATTCCATCTTCAGCTCAAGTCTGCTGTGGCTCACTTCGATTTCCAGAAACAGGAGCGCAAGAGCTTCCTTCCCCACAAATATCAACTGACAAAGCATGAACTTTTTACTAGAGACCTCCGCACATGTGTTGAAAAGAAGAGTGAACTTGGTATTTAAGGGAATAAGCCATGGTTCCTTTGCTGACTAAAAAACACCAAGTCGTGTCTCACATTTACCAAGGTTTCGGGGAAAAGCTGTAAGCTGGATGTTTGTGCAGTTGGCAATAAAACTGTAAAACGTCTAGCATTTTTGAACAATTTTGGTTTAGTAATAAAAACGATTTGACATTTAAATGTTTGTATGCACTTGCTCAGAGCTGACGTCAGGATGCAGTACAAGCTCTCACCATTCGAGTGTGGACGATATTCCTCAAATTTGCCAAAAATCGAAGAAAGTGGCAAGAATTCACCGCACCACAGATTTTCAAGTTACTGAGACGTTAGCCAAAACAATTACAATTACATTACTGTTGTGATGTCTGTCTATATTTACTCCAATCAAATACCACACGTTTTACAAACGCGTGACGCCTAGGTAATTTAAATCAATTGTCATAATATAGACGTATACATTGTCAAAATAAAATCCCGAGTGCCATATAAACTTACCTGTGCTGGCACACCGGGTGTGCTTTTCTCTTTCTGCCCCCCGTTCCGTCTGTTTTGTAGTAAAAACACTCCCACTCTCATCTTATTCCCATCGCTAGCATGCTAACACTAGCTAAGATGAGCTACAGTTAAGTTTTCATTCCTAAACCATAAACTCGGAATGGTTCTTGCAAAACCCACCAATGTTTTGATTTGGCAGGATTAGTGTTCCTATGTTACAAAAGCGAGCAGCGTGTTGGCAGTAGAGCTGCTGACCTACTGACCGACGTTGTTGACATCACAGCTGCACGCGGCTCACAAATACACGGTTCATCATCAGAAACCATACACAGGAAGTCTTGGCGCATGCGCTGTACAAGTGGTGAAACTGCATTTCAAAATAAATGGCATTTCTTATATAGTATATTGTATAGTGTGGAAATAATAAACGAAAATTAAAAAAATAAGAGGAATTTTACCAAAGCTACAAATGGTTGTTCAGTTTTATAGTTTTATACAGAATTGGTGGAATCAGACCTTTCATAATATTCACAATTGTATTTTTAAACGACAATGCAGGCGTGAAAAGTAGGCTAGTTAAATAATTTTTGCACGAATTCAGAATGAATTAAACATTTTTTGCTATGCCGGTGTCGGTACAGGATCTGCTCTGGTGCATGATCGGCTGGGGGTCCTTCGACTGCCGATGACGTCAAAGTAGTTGATTGGCTGAACATGAAGTTTACTGAAGTTACGTTATTTATTTATTTATTTATTTATTTATTTATTTGTTTTAAAACCAACAACTTAATGAATAACATGACAGCATTTATGTGCAACATAAAATAGATACGTGAAAACAAAAGGAACATAACAAAAATAAAGACAGGGGGTTAATGAAAACACAACATCCAAATAATACTCCTGCAAATAAAAATACAGTCCTAAGAGCCTCACAGTCTAAGACCAGGAGAGATGAGATTTTGTCATAAATTATAGCAAATCGGCCTGATTTTAGACGCTTAAGCGAGGAAAAATATTGTTTAAAGTCATTTATAAATCTGGCAAAGGAGGGTAATAGGTTTTTCCACTTGCTACAGTGAATATGGTATTTCCCAAGGAGAATCACTAAGTTGATTATAGATATATCGGAATAAAACATTCTTATTATTTTGCAAAATTTGTCCCCAAAACCCAAGTGATGTAGTGTATCCAACAGAAAGGGATGCTCAACTGTATCAAAGGCTTCACAGAAGTCTAGAAACAAAATCAAGCTTTCAGATGCTCTCAGAATCAAGCATATCAAGGATTAACCAAATATGATTGTGTGTATTTCTACCCTTTATAAAGGCTGATTGATATTCACCTATTAGTTGGGGTAAACAATTGTTTAAGCGGTTGGCATATACACGGGCTGGTAATTTATAATCATTACATAGGAGTGTTATGGGTCTCCAGTTATCTAGAAGCAATTTATCTTTGTTGGGTTTTGGGATTAGTGTTACGAGACCATATTTCATTGTAGGTGAGAGACTATTTTTAGAGATGCATTCCAGAAGAGCATTAAACAACATTACTCTAGCTGATGAACCATATCCATGGTATCCCTCAGTTTATCCACAGAAACTGGCACAACTCTGGTGAGTATCCCACTTACCGTCTCTCTTACATTTTCCTCGGGTTTTTTTTTCAGGAAGACCGATCAACATCAAGTTCCACTTTCTCTTGTAACGAGCTTGGTCCTCTAAAAAGCCTGAGGAGTGATTTATTTTCTTTGTGCAACTCAACAACCTTCTCTTGAGGCTTGGTAATCGACTCATTGTTTTGGCCGATCTCAGCTGTGTTCTTTTCGATGTGTTGATCCAACTTACGAAGCAGTACTCTCATCCTCCACTGACTGGTGTCCAGATCTTCTTCGGGTTAGGGTTTTTAGTTGGTGTGTGGAACCTGTTGATTTTCTCCTCTTTTGAGATATATTGAATTTAAATCATTACACAGAACAAATTTGCGGTCGTAGTCTTAGCGGTTGTAGTCCTGTGGTCCAAAAATCAACTCTTTTTGGAGAAAAAATGTTTGAATTTCCAAAGGAAATGTAAAATAAAAGCAAACGATAAATGGTGACCATCAAAAGCTCTTGATGTTGATGAAATGGGGCAGAATAAAATATAAGAACTTTATTTAAAGACACCAAGCAACATTTTGAATCAAATAATGTATTTAGATAAGAACTAAGGAAATATACAGACGAACTCCACATTAATACAAACAGATGTGGCTTCACATATAAGAACTGTTCTATTTTTTGCCAGTCCGATGTTGGTTTCATGCAGTTTCACATTTTTATTAACAAATTACAATCATAAAGAAAACATTTAGGTGTTAACAAACAAGAATTTATTAACAAAACTGCTGATGTCTTTCCAAAACGTGTGTGTGAAAGCCGAGTAGATTCGCAGTACTGTGGCGTCATCAGCGGGCGCTGGACCCCGAGTCGATCTGGCACCCGTGAGTAAAAGTGACGTCATTGGCGTACCCATTTCTCAGGTTTCACCGTGGGAATGTAAATGCAATCACACCACCTGAAACAGGCAGGCCTGTAAACACACAGAAGCACGTTCCTAACGAAAGCTGAGGGGGAAAAAATCATAGTGAATAGATTTTAGACAGAAAAAGAACTGAATAGTCTAAAATGTTCTTAACACATATGGTTCAATTTGAATATTTGGGAGAATACATTTTTTTTTGTTATTTGCACCAAATAAATAATTCTTTTGGCTTCAAAATGTCTGGTGGGATGGAAGACTGCCATACAGTACTGTGCATGCAGAGCCGTGTCCAGGACTTTTAAAATGGGGTGGCCCATGTGGGGCACTTATTTATGCATGGGTGGCACCAATGGTTATGTTTATTTATTTATTTACACAAATCGTTTATTTATTTATTTACTTTCTAGTGAATTTTGGGATTTCACATTGCACAATCACCATTTTTTTCTATTCATCTTCTAGTTTTGTGGTGGTTAGCAAGTCACTTCTTGTTGCATTATTGCCACCAACTGGAGTTGAGTGGGACTAAATACTATTTATGTGAATATGAAAAAAATAATAAATAATATTAATACTACAGAAATGTTCTGTAGGCCTGGGCTAGAAGACAATGTTAAAGGTGCATGCTACCACACACTATTTTTGGAGTTTACAACTCAAGCCTTTTGTCGACAATGTAAATTCAATTTAAACTGGAACTTAGTGGGGTGGCACCTGGGGTGGCCAATCAGATTCTAAGGGTGGCATGTGCTACCCCAGGCCACTCCCTGGACACGCCCCTGTGTGCATGTGCTGAAAAGTGCTATAAACAAAGAACGATTTCAGATCAATAAAAATGGAGTCACTCCAAAAATCTTGTCGAAGTCATGAATTATCCTCAGCATAAAGAAGAACAAGAATGATGATCCGGACCCCACAGAGCCCCGATCTCACCATCATGGACTGTGCGAGATTATATGGAGACAGAAGGATGTGAGGAAGCCTACATCCACAGATCTGTGGTTCATTCTCCAAGATGGTTGGAACAACCTACCAGTACAGTTTCTTCAACAACCGAGTGCAATATATCTAGAAGAACCGATGCTGTTTGGAGGCAAAGAGTGGTCACACCAAAGATTAATTAGATGTAGGTTTTTCTTTTGTTCTTTCACTGCTTTTGTTGATTTGTTGTGTAATGCTGATAGTTTAGGTTTACAGATTATGTCTGGTGAATAAAATCAAGAAATCAGACTGCTGTCATGGTCTGCGTCTGCCCCTTCCTTCATGTGCCTCCGGGTGTCCTCCATCCCTCTCTAGGTTCCCTTTTGTGTCTCATAGCGCCCTCATGTGTCCTGTGTCTGCATCTCATTTATGTGTTTTCTGTTTGTAGGCATTCGATCATCCCCATCCCCTCCAGTTGTAGCTCCAGCCTCTTTGTCCCCAGCTCTGTGTGTGTGAGTGTATGTGTATGTGTATGTTTGTGTGTGTGTGTGTGTGTGTGTGTGTGTGTGTGTTTTGTGCGTGTCCATTCCCCAATTCAGTGTGTCTGAGTGTATTTGGGTGTGATTGTGTGTGTGTGTGTGAATCCTTCCCTCAGTCTCTTAGTTCAGTTTTGTGTTTATCTGCCCTCCTTTGGTTCTGCTTCTCCATTTGGATAATTGTTGTCACCTGTCTTCCCTCCAGCTCTCACTCCACACACCTGCTTCCTGTTTTCCTAATTGTTCCTCCCAGTTTATTTAAGCCCTGCCTTGTCTCTGTGTTGTTGTCGGTCCATTGTCTTTCTTGGTCAGCGTTGTTTTGTCGCCAGTCTTTAGTCTCTAGTCTCAGTTTTTAGTTCTCTGCTCAGAAGGTGAGCTTTTGATTTTTGTCTTAGTTTAGTTATTTGGTTTTTGCCGTCGACCCCTTGGATTTTTGGTTTTCCTCCTAAATAAAGGATTTTTACTTTATACCATCTCTTGCCTCGTGTCACCCTGGGTTACTGCATCTTGGGTCTTAACAACCTCCTCCTTGCTCTCAACGTGACAACTGCAAGCATGCCTTAGAGATGTAACATTAATCATGATGGCAGGAAGTTAAATGCCCATCCTGCAACTGGAGAGTTGCAGGTTCGCGCCCCGCTCAGACTGTAGTCATTGTGTCTTTGGACAAGATGCTCAACCTTCCTTGCCTGCTTGTGGTGGTTGGAAGACCGGTGGCGCCCGTGTCGGCAGCCTCGCTTCTGTCAGTGTGCCTCGGGGCAGCTGTGGCTACATCATCACCAGTGTGTGAGTGAGTGTTGTGTTGTGAAGCGCATTGGGAGTTTTAAGGTACTATATAAATACATACTCTTTCCCTTAAATTTTCTTTTTTTAATATTCAGAAAAGACAGCGGAGGTGGTTTTTAGACCTGAGCGCCTTATGATCAAACGTTATTCATCCACTTACTCTGGATGGCATTAACTTGGCTTTGCAAGAAACATTTGCTACTCTGGTCCTTTCTTTCAACTCAGCTCAGGGCTAAATTTAGCAGATCATCCAGTGGTTGTTGGTGAAACATCTACGACCACCCTGGAGGGCAATGCTCACTGTTTATATCTTCAAACACATCACAGTGGTTATTATTATCTTACAACAGCCTGGAAATATGAACAAGCACTGTAGTCTGATAGATCGACACGTATTCGGTTTATTTATAAAATCAAAGAGTGTAGACCTGGCTCAGTGGATTTCAACGTGTGGTGTGGAAGAGTTACAAAAAAGTACAATAGTTAACGGCGTTTCTAGACAGGAAGATCAAGATGACATTCTCTATGTTTGAGCAAGTGTCTTTGAGGAAAAAAATATAAAAAACAAAAAGTCCTTTTGACAAACACTACCTGATAAAGGGAGCTAGGGAGATCTGACTCCCATAGATCTGTGCCCAAGATAGAGGCGAGCGACCCGGTGAAACACACGCAAAGCTGACAACACAACATCCCAATAACATGACATCTTTACACTGCTAAAAAGTTAAAAGGCACCACACAAGTCACAAAAAACTTCTGCCACACATTTGTAACGCTGTAACCGACAAACTTTAAGGCGGATGCCACTGTCATGTGCAAAAAAACACCTTGAACATGTTTCTCGTGTCCTCTCTAGCGTCCTCTGTGGTGAGGTGTGCTTTGGTTTTTTTTTTCTTTTCACTGCTGACTTCATTAAAAATATTTAAACTGTGAAAAGTTTTAAAGAATGATTGCATCGTCATCACTACGTTGCTTGGTGTCACAGGCATATTAAAGGCTTTAAGGAGTGAGAAGTCAGGGGGTGTGGGGTGGGGGGGGGGTGTGGGGCTCCACTGTTGGTTTAGTTCCTGTAGCTTTTGCGACCCTCTCCCTCCTTTAGAAAGGTCCACATGAGGGTGTTCACAATATCAGGCTGGTCCTGCTGCAGCCAGTGACTGGCCCCAGAGATGATGTTGAGACGGAAGTGATTTCTGATGTAGAGGCGGCAGGCTTCCGCCATCTCTTGCTCCAGGAACGCATCCCGTTCTCCCCACAGTAGCAGCACCGGAGACCGGACGTATTTGTGGTTCAAGGGCAGCGAGCTGAGGACAGAGAAAGAATCAGAGAAAAGTCTAAGAGATTTTTAAAAAGGGCTCAGATCTGTAAGAGTGGACAATAAAGCCCTTCTCTGTAAACCGAGTGATCCTGTGTCGTGCATGTACACAAGGCCCAGAACAAACATTGCAACGATCCATTCATGCTACAGTAATGTACAGTGATCCCTCGCTACTTCGCGGTTCGTTTATCGCAGATTCACGACTTTGCGGATTTTTTTTTTGGAGCCTTATTCAAGGGAAATTCGCAGATTTGCGGTATTTTTCACCGATTCGCGGTATTTTTCTATGCAAAATATCAAGAAATTCCTGTTTTTTTCATCAATTTCATCATAAAATGCACTTTTTGTAATAAAACTATAAAAAAAACAAGTAAAAATTTTTTTCTATGTAAAGGGAGTGTTTTAAAAGTCTGAATACTGAATACGTACCTGTTAAATAAATACTGTAAATATGGTGCCCCTACTTCGCGGATTTTCACCTATCGCGGCCAGGTCTGGAACGCATCTACCGCGATAAACGAGGGATCACTGTATCTCCACCACTTTAGCACAAGTGCAGAAAAGTCTCTGATGATCACTCTTTCAGTATCCACCGGCACTGATTCGCAGGCTACCAATGCTGAATGCATGGATGGTTTCAGTGGGGGAAGTCGACCATCCAGCAGAAAGTCCTGCCCTGAGTAGACTGTGACCCAGGTCCCTCCAACCCCGCTTTAGTGGCTGATTTCTCAAATACATTTTACATAAATGCCCCAAAAACTCATGAAACGACCTCCCAAAGAAGTTGAAGCTGTTATACCTGTTTGGTGGTTCACCTCAGTATGAAACCCGATGGATTTAGAACAGGAGGTCACCAAAGTTCATCTGTGTGTAAAGGCAGACATCCCAATACGTTTGGCAATGTAGTATTCTTATAATACGGAGTAATCCATTACAACAAAAGTACAGTGGTCAGTTAAGTGCATTTTAAATTATCAATAGTATTTTCATCCTGCTTCAAGACTGCTGATAATCAGTAGGTCCAAAACACCAAATGTTAACATAACTGCTAATTATTTTGTATTTACTAGGAAGAGGTATGAGTCCAGCCTATTAGGTCTCATTTTAATTGAAAACACCATCTGACTCATGCATTTATAACCTGTGAACAGGTTACAAACAGAGCTAACGCGTAGCACTTTAACTATAATCATATACAACATCAGTTCTAAGTTAAAAGAAATACCACTGGTGGTCCAGAACAGAAACCAATAAGGTGATTTGATTTTGGCCCTCTTTTATGTTGAATTTATTTCAGTTTTCATTGGTTCACTAAATCCATTATTTTACACATTTGTCCTGTACCAGAATGTTTCACCTATTTTGTAATTTGTATTTTGTAATTTGAATTGCTTTTATTTTTGATTTATTCAATATATTTACCTTCAACTGAACCATGTTCAGCGCTTTGGGCTTCCTGACAGGGTTGCGGAAGGCGCTTTATAAATAAAGCTTTGATTGATTGATTGTGAGTGTGTGGAACTGCAGCACTGGTGTTTTAAAGGCGTCACACACATCTACTGATTTTCTTTATTAGCTGCACTTTTGGTGCAGAAAGGTCATTATGGTAACATTAAAGTTAGTTTTTCTACAGATTATTGGTCAACTAAGTTTATTACAACAGTTCAGTTTATTTTCTTCATTGTCTTACAAGCTATGTCCAAATATTCTTAAACAGCAAAGTCGGAAGAGTTTTCCTTCGCCTCTGATTTCTGATGCATGTGCTCGGATTGTTTTTTATGCTCCATATGTGAATCTTATGACGTGTGTGAAGTCGGATGTGAATCTCCCCCGTTGTGCTGGGATGGTCTTCCGTGCGAAATAACTTCATGCTTTTGTGGAAGGTGAGTGGCTGGATGAACGTGTGCTTAAATGCAGCATGCAGAGAGGCTAACTGAGCATGGGCCAATGAAATTTCTGTTACACAGTCACATAAAAGCTATTCTGAGATAACTCGTTGCTTGAAAAAGGAGCAGCTGGCTGGGGAAGTCATGCACGTAAAGACGACATGTTAAAAATACACACAATCGTCTTAGAGCTTGCTTCAGTAAACTAAATTACAACAATGTGTAAACTGAATTAAATTGCAAAATCACAGCAACAACCAAAGGATGTGAAAGTCCCGAGATAAAAATGAAGAGTAAATCTGACATATTAATATAATTGTAACTGCATGGAAACATTGCAGACACAGAACCCAATAAACATCATTCATTTGCTCTTTAGGTCTACAAAACACCCCAAAATAAAAGAACATCTAATGATTTAACTTTGCATTTCTTTTTAAAGCCATTTTAAATGTATTCTAGGGTTGAGAAACCCAAATGAAACATATCAGTTCTTACGTTGTTTCACTTCTTTTCACAACTATTAAGATTTGGGAAAATATGGAGTTTACGTGACGTCCTTTTCCTTCCATCAGAAACGAAGGCAGGTCTGTTGATACCCTCATCTTCCTCAGCCATTTGCAATGTGATGCGTGCAGACAACTGTTTTACATCATGACATCATGACAAATGCATCCCTGGAAAGGTGTTGAAAGCTGAATCTAAAATATCCACCACACGTTTCTGCGGCGATGTAGACCAAAGAAATAATTCCCACAAGATAGTTTTACAATTTCTATAATGCATTTAGGGTGTGAGTCACAAAAAAAGCATTCTTAATGATCATTTCTGATTATAATGGGTCACTATTTGCGAGGAATTCTTTTCTACCAGAGACTAGGGGTTGTATGAACTAGTCGACTAGTCGACTTCACCGCTCTATAGTGACTTTTTATGCCTGTCATCGACTAGTCGCCGTCACGTGGTAATGACAAGATGCAGTCCTCGGAAAAGACAGCAGGTGACGAGCCCCTGCGCGTCTGGATCGAGGGGGAGGCGACGCGCTGTGCCAGAGCGTCGGTACTGACACCCGCCGTAAAACGGACATTTAACCAAACTGTGACCTTTTCCCTCTTGCAATTTAACCTTCCCCTCACCCCCATCCTAACCTTAACCAGCTTGCGCATGCAGAGCTCTGATCGCTAATGTGCACCAGACATCTGCGTCCTGAGCACGGCCACAGTAACATTATCAAATCAGGTGTCACCACTCAAAAACAAATGTATCGTGATCGTTCATGTCGGCTCATTTCCTTTTATGTTTTCTGTCTTTTATTTTTGCCTGATGCACCCCGCTGCTGTGGAGCGGGGTGCATCACCTGTTTTGTCCGCCGGTGACGCACTGTGGCCGGCGAGCAGCGCGCACTCCGCTGTTTTTGCGGTCGGTAGATCTTTTAGAACTGCAGTTCAAAGGTAACTCATGAGGTGAATATATATGAAGCCAGGTAGCAGTTTTTCTTTAGGACTGAGAGGAGATGCAGGAAGATAATAAACAGGCAGGACAGAAAAATAGTCAAATAAAAACAAGTTAGTTTTTGTACCTGGTGGTTGCAACAAACAGACACCATTGAAGGTAATCAGAAGTGAGGAACAAAACACGAAATAATTATTTTAATGTTTAGAGCAGCAGGAACTCCGAGAGGCTGCAGGCGCATCAGTGAGTTTGCGGCCGCTGCGCAGGGGGAGGGGGAGAGGGCTGAAGCAGGGGGAGGGGGAGAGGGCTGAAGCAGGGGGAGGGGGAGAGGGCTGAAGCAGGGGGAGGGGGGAGAGGGCTGAAGCGGGGGAGGGGGGAGAGGGCTGAAGCGGGGGAAGTGGGAGAGGGCTGAAGCAGGGGGAGGGGGCTGAAGCAGAAACTACCGTTGTTAAAAGAAATGTGTTTAACTTTGAAAATGTGGATGCAATTTTAATTGTCAAAAACTCCAGCGAACCATCCGACCCCCCCGCCGCTTCAGTTGTATGACGTCATCAACAACTAGTCGAAGTCGACTCGATTTTCATTACTTGACTGTCGACTTTAAAAAAAAATTAAGTCATGCAGCCCCTACCAGAGACCACTTCAAAAGAGTTTCCCACGCCATTATCACGAATAGTAAAAACTATTTGCTTTTCTGGTTTCTTAATGTCCATCTCTCTATTCCCACACTGACATGAGTGAACCTCCCACCTGAAAACATTCCTGTAGTAGTTGAGGGCTCCTGTTAAAGCTCCCGGCTGCGAGAGTGCGTACAGATAGGCCTCCAGGTCTTCTGCAGTAAGCCACCGACCCTTCCTCCCAATCCCGGTGTTGCGGCTGGTGAATAAAGCCTTCAGAGCCTACAGCAGAGCAGAACCAGCAGCAGATATTGGGTTGGTGTTCAACTGGAACATTTTGATCTATAGAAACTGTACTACAGGACATTCACGTGCTGCAACGTGAGTCAGAGAAGAAAATTTGCCAGTTAGATCAGGTCTGATGACCTTCAGCTGCAGGTCTGGCACTGGGCTTGCTGCCGGCTCAACAGCACAGCTAGGTGCAACACAAGCATACGGCTAAGTTTTACACTTAATCAGTGAAACAAACACATTTTTAAAAAGTCTTGATTATTTACAAAGCAATCAGTTTAACAGAATAAATTAGCATCTTAAAAGGAATTATTCACACAATGATCAATGATGCTCTAGAAACGGGGAGGGTAGCACTGTTTGGAGGTTGTGACAGAAGCAGAATTGTTGATCATGTAAAGTTTAGTTTAAATAAAAAGTAACACCTGTTATAAACCAAGGGCGAAATGATGGACTTTAGCTAAACCAGAATTAAATCAGATCTAATTTTGGTTGAGTAGATGCATTTTATACAGGATTAAAGTTAACAGACTAAGCCAGTTCCTAAAATAGAATCATGTTTTTGTCATGGTCTGTGTCTGCGTCTTTCCCCATGTGTCTCCTGATGTCCTCCATCCCTCTCTAGATTCCCCTTTTGTGTCTCATAGCGCCCTCATGTGTCCTTTGTCTGCGTCTCATTTATGTGTCTTCTGTTTGTAGCTCCAGCCTTTTTGTCCCCAGCGCCCTCCTGGTTTGCTTCGTGTTCTCTTGGACCTGTCCACACGTAGCCGGGGATCTGCCAAATCGTAGATATTTTTCTACGTTTTGGCCTGTCATCCACACGAAAACGGAGTTTTTTCACACGAAAACGGATCTTTTTAAAAACTCCGGCCAAAGTGAAGATCTGCGTTTTCTCCGTTTTGGGTGTCTGCGTGTTGACAGACAAAACCGGAGTTTTAAGGTCCGCAACGTCACTTTCCGCGACAAAAAAAATGCTGACATCACGTGTGCGACCTGTGTTTACACTAGCCGACAGCATGGATGCCCTCAGAGCTGCGCTCGCTTTATCAATTGTCCAAGCGCTTTTTGCTTGTTTGTTTTTGCAAGAGGAATTACTGCTCCTTGCGGAAGACCACAGACGAAGGACGAGGTTAAGAACGGGGGAGGTACTGCCGCCTACAGGTCTGGCATGTCCTTAACAACGTATTTATCCAGGTACGTGTGGACAGAGTTTTTTTTTTAAACGAGGTGGTGTGGATGCAAGTTTTTGGAGGGGCGGATATTCATTAAAAAAAAACGGCTACGTGTGGACTAGGCCTTGGTCTCCCCACCATATCTCTCAGGTCCTGTGTTCCTTTAGTCTTCTCCAGTCATCCCTCTGCAGCGTTTATAGTTTCAGCTTTTCATTTTATTAGTCTCTTTTATATGTTTTGTCCCACCAGTCTTTGTAGTTCTCCTTCCCTTTAGAATATGGTTGCTTTTCTTGTTTTTAGGTTTTTTCTTAGGTCATGTGAGTTCCCTCCCTGATTAAGTATTGCTTTCACCTGGTCCTCTCCCCACACACCTGCAGCTCATCTGCCTCCCATCATGCCCCAGTTTATTTAAGCCCTGTCTTGTCTCAGCGTCTTGTCGGTCCATTGTTGTTTGTCAGCAGTGTTTTGGTGTTCTGTGTAAGTTTCCGGTCTCCTTCCCAGTCTGTGCTCTATGTGAGCTTTTTTCTCCTGTTCCTGGATCATTGGTTTTTGGCTCCCTGCCTTTTTGGATTTATTTTTATTTTGGACTCATCCTAAAATAAAAGGATTTTCTTTATATAAACTCCTGCCTCGTGTCATCCTGGGTATCTGCATTTTGGGTCCAAACATCCTCTCATTGTGACAGTTTTGGTCTTTATTTTAGCCAACTTAAAACTTACCAAAATCAATGATTAGGCCTCAAAACATTAGCATTAATGCTAATAATTAATGCTAATAATTTACTATCTATAATTATAAACGGTCTGCACTTGTATAGCACCTCTCAAAGTAAGGACTCCAAAGCGCTTTACACTACAGTGTATCATTCATCCATTCACACACTCATTCACTCACTGATGGTGATGAGCTACGATGTAGCCACAGCTGCCCTGGGGTGCACTGACAGAGGCAAGGCTGCCGAGCACAGGCGCCACCGGTCCCTCCGACCACCACCAGCAGGCAAGGTGGGTTAAGTGTCTTGCCCAAGGACACAACAGCAGAATTCTCTGTCCGGAGCCGGGATTGAACCTGCAACCTTCCGATTACTGGACAACCCGCTCAACCTGTTGAGCTACTGCTGCCCAATAAGAACCGCTCATATTAGTTCTGACATGATAATACTGCAGAACGTCACAAACTACCAAATAAAAGCATTTTTCTGTTGTAGCATGTGAATCACAGCAACAAAGCTAACATCAGGTACTTCCCTTCACTTAGCTGGAGCTGTGGAGATATGGCATCACTGGATGGTTGTGATGTCATTCCTGGTCTAGGACAGGAATTGTATGGCGAACTGAAATTGTCCAATTAACTAATTGATAAGAGATTTTCAAAAAAGGAGCTTTGTTGGCAAACAACAGAAACAGCTGTTTAATAATGGGCTGCATGGTGGCGCAGTTGTTAGCACTGTTGCCTTGCAGCAAGAAGGTTGCAGGTTCGAAACTCGGCTGCGGCCTTTCTGCGTGGAGTTGCGCGTTCTCCCCATGCACGCGTGGGTTTCCTCCGGGGACTCCGGTTTCCCCCACAGATCACAACATGCCCTACAAGTAAAACATTGTACGTCGCTTCGGATAAAAGCGTCTGCCAAATAAATAAACATAAACATAAACATAATCCATGCTACAGAGTCATGTAAACTACAGCGTTTGTATTGTTGAATTTTGTGTGGATCGTCCCACAGCAGGTTGTTTTACAGAAGCTATCGCAGTAAACACTAAAATGAGACACTGTGTGAGTCTGACACACACACACACACACACACACACACACACACACACACACACACACACACACACACACACACACACACACACACACACACACACACACACACACATGACATTGAAATCACTTAAGCCCACACAAAAGAGACCACCTTGAAATCATTGATGGAGAGCATGAGCTCCGGGAAGCGGGGCAGCTGGAAGAAAAAGAAATGACTGGATTTCAGCAGCTGGCTCGGGTGACGCAGAGCATAATCTGGAGAGGAGGGGAAGACAACAGAGATGTTAACTTATTTTCATTCTACTTAAAGGAAAGTTTGCACACACTGCAAGGTTGCGGGTGTGAGTCGACTTTGCTGCTCTGTGTGCTCCAGCTAGACCTGCTGTTCTAGCTTCATCTGAGCCTCCAGTAATTAGCTTCTCACCATCTCCCCCTAAGGCAGAGAAGGATTTGCCAGCTGGATGTCAGCATGCAGTTGCAGTAATAAGACATCCTAATTAATGATAATAATTCCAGTCATAATCCAAGAGTTAATGCAGAGCCTCTGTAATTACAATGGAGGAAAAGCTTTTCCCTCACAACATTAACCCTTTGATGCATGAATTATGAAATCTTCAACCATGATTTTTGTAACATTTGTTTTCATTCATCTTTAGGTGTGAATGATACAAATTTCAACAAATATTTTTAGTAAATTTTTATAATTTACAAATAATTTATTACACGTCCACCTCAGTGGACATCCTGAACATGAAATATGTTGGCTTGGCTTGCTGAAGTCCAAATGGATGGGCTCAAATGCAATAAAGTCTTCAACAGCTGTGCTTAACAGCAAAAATAAATAAATACTAATTTTGAATACCTGTCCACTGTAGTGACCATTATGCATCAAAGGGTTAAGACAAATGCCCGAGAATCTGCTCAACGTACACAACCCTACCTGTGAACACCGAAGGATGGGGACAGTTCAGGACGATGAGTTTTGTCACCATCTCAGGGTAATGAATGGCGAACAGCCACGCGATAGTCCCGCCCCAATCGTGGCCTACCAGGCAGCATCTGTTGTACCCTTGAAGAGAGGCAAACAGACAGATAGCATTAATTATTCATGGAGACACTGCTGTTGTTCTTGTTTATTTTAAAGATTTTTTAACTGATCAAAATAGTTCATAAAAGACTGCATAAGTGGAGCAATGCCTGAGCTCCATTTGTGTCACAACATCCAGCAAATCGCTGCAAAGTGACCCTCTTACCTGTGCCACCACCATTCAGACAGATGAGTCACCCTAACATCCTAGCACTGGTCTCATATGCCAGTAACAGTGACACAGTTCAGTCTCTAAATCACAGAAAATCTGGCCCGTTTCTTCAGCCCCCACCAAAGGTGTGGGCTGAGTGGACCGTACGTGAGTGCTGATGTATCGGGGTTTTGTAGCGCAGTTGCAGATTAAAGTAGAGCAATTATAACGTAATCAGAACACGCTTTGTCACACTTAAGCGACCATTAAGTGAATGATTTGCAGCAATATCCCTTATTGAGTGCTTAGCTCCTGACAGAGTGGCTAGAACAATGCAAGAAGCTTCCAAACATTCATTACAGACCATAATAACCATCATATTGTTTAATGGTTTCTATGGGATCTGCTCCATATCTGCTGAAGAATATTTACAAGGCCTGAACTTTGACTGCTCAGATAAAAGAGCCGGACATCAATACTGGCTGACATTCAACACACTGACTGTCATCGGTCTATCTGCAAGTACGATAACATCAGCTCATCGTGGTAGCCGCAGCGTCATGTTGACAAAATGGATTTTTGATCAATTTACACACAACAAAGAAAAAAGAAAATATTGACTGGAACGTGTAGCGATGGTTTAACTGGCTAAAAAGTCGTCTGACAAAGAAATGACTTTAGACCCAGTGTTCCAACGTTTACAAAAGGGATGAGATGCAAACCAAAGGCCACATGGAGATAAACCTGCTGGCTCTAGTGGGCCATTCCCATCTGTACCGGGTCGGCCCGGGCCGGGTAGCCCCAGTCGGCCCCAGCCTGGCCCGGTTGATTCCACACCTTGTCTTAAGCCCATGTGGGCTGATTCTACCCACCAATCAGAGGCTTGCTCTAATGGAAGGTGTGAATTTGCTGTCAGCAGTGGGTGTGTTGGCCCTGGTCGGCCTGAAGCAGACCCCCTCGAGAAGAGGGCTGAGAATGAGCCTTGGTTGGCCCGGAAAAATACCAGGCCACCCAGATATGTAAACAACCTACGCTACCCGGCCCGGGCCGACCCGGTACAGATAGGAATGGCCCATATGAATACCAAAGAGGTACCAATAAGACTGGCCTTCCAAAAATATTGGCCCATATTGGCTCTCTTGCACCAGCCCTGGTCTAGCACTGGAACCATTTTGGTGGAGACACTATATCAGACCTTAGCTGAAAGGTTGAAGACCAATTAAAAACCAGCAGGTTTTTACATGTTCACAACAAACCTAGCTAATCTACACTTAAACAGTTTTTACTCATAATTGCATTTTTTTGAAGGTTTATTAAAAGACAATGATGCATTTCGTTAAGATAAAGTAGAGGACGATCAAAGAGTGCATTTTCTTAAAACATGTTTTTTTTTTGTTTCCTTGACATCAAAGGAACAAAAACGAGAGAAAAAGTCATCAGCTGTGTGTTCAAAACCTTATTTTGACACTGGTATCAGTATAATACCTACATTCCACCAATATGACTTTTTATTTTAGACTGCACCACTAAACTAACGTGCTGTCAGCACGGATACATCAATAAGAAATGGATTTAAAGTCATAAACAGGAAAAGAACTGACTCAGTTCTTTGGAGCTAAAACAGCTATTTTAAAAAAGTGACAGCTGTGACTTCATGGATGCATATAAATAGAACTTGTTAGAACTAAAATTAAAATATACACAAGTATTCTGGGCAGAAAATAAGCTATTTTGGTCAGCTAATTGCTGGGTGGTGTTTGTGTGTGCAGGCAGCATCAATTTGGATCAGTGCCAGTGCTAGCATGGAGTCAGCTGCTTCTGTCTGAGTCACAGGACGTTTGTCATGTGGTGCTGCGGGCCTGAAAGCTGTCCAAAGACCGGACTGATGAACAGGTTTATTTCTTAACCGGGATGATGTCGACAACCCGATCCATCCCTCAGCGTCTTTACAAATGTTCTCTTACCTAAATACTCCACGATGTCTTTCACGTCGGTGACCAGGTAGTCAAAGCTGTAGTTCTCAGTGGAGAGGGGCAGGTCGGACTCACCGTAGCCTCTCATGTCCACGGCCACCACACGGAACTCACTCTTAAACTCACGCAGCTGGTAGCGCCAGGAGAACCTGAGGCAAACACACACACACACACACACACACACACACACACACACACACACACACACACACACACACACACACACACACACACACACACACACACACACACACACACACACACACACACACACACACACACACACACACACACACACACACACACACACACACACACACACACACACACACACATTCTATTTAACTCATCATATCGAAGCCATGCAGATATGTGACTGTGACGTTCACATGCATGCAATCACTAATAACTTTTCATCAACAGCTTAAAACAACACACATAATCCATCTTGTGCTCTACATTAAAACCCATTTACCATAACTGACCCTCCTAAACAAAGGATGTTTCACTTATGTCACGTTTCGGTGTTGGTAGGACCCAAAATGCAGGAGCCCAAGATGGCACGAGGCAGGAGATGATATAAAGTAAAATCCTTTTATTAGGATGAATGAAACAAAAATATATCCAAATGGGCTGAGCTGGAGATCAAAAACACTCGAGACTAAGAGACTCTGGAAGCCAGGAAAACACTAGAGACGACACGAGAAGACTGAAGGAATTACCACAATGGACCGACACCAAACAGAGACAAGACAGGGCTTAGGCCTAGTCCACACGTAGCCAGGGTTTTTAAAAACGAATATCCGCCCCTCCAAAAACTTGCATCCACACCACCTCGTTTTAAAAAAAAAAACTCTGTCCACACGTACCCGGATAAATACGTTGTTAAGGACATGCCAGACCTGTAGGCGGCAGTACTTCCCCCGTTCTTAACCTCGTCCTTCGTCTGTGGTCTTCCGCAAGGAGCAGTAATTCCGCTTGCAAAAACAAACAAGCAAAAAGCGCTTGGACAATTGATAATAGAGCGCAGCTCTGAGGGCATCCATGCTGTCGGCTAGTGTAAACACAGGTCGCACACGTGATGTCAGCATTTTTTGTCGCGGAAAGTGACGTTGCGGACCTTAAAACTCCGGTTTTGTCTGTCCACAAGCAGACACCCAAAACGGAGAAAACGCAGATCTTCACTTTGGCCGGAGTTTTTAAAAAGATCCGTTTTCGTGTGAAAAAACTCCGTTTTCGTGTGGATGACAGGCCAAAACGTAGAAAAATATCTACGTTTTGGCAGATCCCCGGCTACGTGTGGACAGGGCCTTAAATACACAGGGAGAACAACTAAGGAAACAGGAAGCAGGTGTGTGGAGTGAGGGCTGGAGGGAAGGCAGGTGACACAAACGATCTAAATGGGGGAAACAGAACCAATAGAGGGCAGATAAACCTAAACATAAAATTAAACCTAAGACTGAGGGAAGGACTCACACAAACACATACACACATGCAATGAACTGGGGCAGGACATGCACACACACACACTGACACAAATAAACTCACAGACACTAACACACACATACACTAAGCTGGGGAACAAGAGGCTGGAGCTACAACTGGAGGGGCTGAGGATAACTAAATGAACACCGGTCCTGAGGGAATGATCAGAAGGCCTACAAACAGAAGACACATAATAGAGACGCAGACAAAGGACACATGAGGGCGCTTTGAGACACAGAAGGGAATCTAGAGAGGGATGGAGGACACCAGGAGGCACATGAAGGAGGGGGCAGACGCAGACCGTGACAACTTAAGAACTTGTAATTTACAAACTTGCAAACTCTGTAAAAACACTTTTCATTAGTGTTCAAACATCTCGTGTTTAAATTCTGAGACTTTGTAACTTTTCAGTTTACACTGAGTTTGCATTAAACACGGATCTTATATTTTAATTAAAAGTATCATAAAATAGGTACATGTTTTATAGTAAAATATTCAATCGTCCTGCAGCGTTTACCTGCCTTGTCGGATCACACGATCCCATCCTCTGGTTGATGTCTTTGCTATATTACTAAGTTGTTTATGAGCTCAGTAGGAGAATTGTTATTGTGATATCATCCTAGGGCTCTAGGAGAGACAAAAGGCCAAAACAAATCAACAAAAGAAGGGAGATGTTGGGTCTGGTCTACGATCCATGATGAACACTGAATCTACTGCTGCTCATGTTTGAGAAAGACACAAATAGTAATCATACAGTTTGCTGCATCACATCTTCTGATTTGAGTTGTCATGAACTCCAGAATGTTTTGAAGAGTAATCCGATGGACAACATTAATTAGATGGTCCTTCTGGGACATAAAAATGAACTTGATACTGCTGAGGACTGGGGAAATTAATTTTCTTTGATTAATCTTGTTGTGAGTATTTACGCTATCTGGAGGGAAAAAATACTGTCTGCAGAAGGAAAGGTGAGCCCGTCCATCAGTCATGTGTCCCCCGAGACAAAAGCATCCCCAGTCCACTGGTGTGTGGGGATGAGAGCTGGCTCACTCACAAAACGGACGTTAGGATGGCACAAAAACATCCGCTGAGAGGAAGTTTTCAGTCATTCAAAAACTGTTTGGAGATGAAGAGTAGGGTAAAGTCAGTAAGGACACGTCATTTTAGGTTCACGTCCAAAAAACTCCCGTAATCCCACGAAGAGCTTGTAGTCAGCAGGAATGTGGACAAGCAAAAACCCAAACTGGAGAATGAACTGCCATCAGTCTGGATTTAGGCCAGAAGGTGATTGACAGCATGCCAGGTTGAAATGCAGAGGCCCCCCACCCCCACCCCAGACACACACATTCATGAGCTGATGGTGATGAACTACTATGTGACCACAGCAGTCCTGGGGGTGACAGACACAAGAGGGGCAGCCATTCACACACACTCGCTACACCAGCAGGGAAGGCAGGTGAGGGGCCTTGACCAGGGATGAATGCAACAGGTTGAATGGTGACAGGGTGGGCACTTAACTCCTCTGCCACCATCACCTTAACCTTAACCATAACCATCACCCTTTTAATACCAACATAATGCAACGGTCAATAACAGTCTTGGAACTGGAGATGCTTGTAGTTGTTCTTCTGTAACCATAGAAAAATCTGACAAAAAAAAAATCTAAAATCACAGAAGTAGCTAACTCTGTGAAAACCAGCAGATGTGTCACTCTCTCCCAAATCTGTGCCATTGCTGTAAATGTTCCAGACCTCCTCCTCCTCCTCTTCAGCTGATGGATGGTGGAAGAAATATGCAAAGTCCTGCCTGGTTCTGATGACTCAGGATAAGAAACCTGCAATCCTAGAATGTGGATGAGGACCAAGGCACATGAACCCCCCACCACCACCACCATACACTACTCCCTTTCTCATTTCTAGGAGTTAATCAACACATTCTTAAGAAAGATCTTCATCACTTTTTTCTTCGTTCCATGAAGAAGTAGGCAAATGAAGCAGAAACGGCTCATGTGCCGTTAATTAATCTCTGTTCTGCTTTCAGCTCAGATACTATATCAGAGGTATGGACCAGCTCAAAGCTTCTGACAACCTCTTGGCTCCAGTCCAGGCCCAATGCTCAACATCGTTTTTCATTTCATATCAGGAAAATGAGATCTTGGACTCTTAGGACCTACATCCCACTGATGGCAAACCATGTTTGTGAATGAGGCAGGAGTGTATTTATATTCGCCGCTCAAGAGTCAGACTGCAGCGATTTAGCAGTGCTGCAGCAACCTCGTGGATTTCTCTTAGTCAGGGGAAGTTTCAGAGAGAGGACCGCTGCAGGAAACACACGGCGACTGTGCAAAATTAAATCTTACAGTCTGGTTTGCAGCAGCAGAGGTGAACTCTATTATTTTCTGGTCCACCTACCAGAATTCGGGGAATCCATGCAAAAACAGCATGAGTGGCTTCCCTCTTTCTCCAGCTGCAACATAGTGAAACCGGAGGCCAGACTCCTGGGCAGGAGGAAGACAAAAAATTAAAGACAGAGCTGAAAATCACATCAAAATAAATGAAAAAGAGAACTAGACATTTTTGATCTATCAGAAATGAAATTAAGTGCCATTAAATTTGAAAAGTCATCCATTAAAAAGTTATTATAAGAAGGCTCCAACATGGAAACATGTTCTAACCAAAAACACTTCAAAGAACATTGTTCTAATAAACCAATCTTTAAGAAAAGCGTGTGTTCGTTAGCTCTGGGGTAACACTAAGGTGAACAGTGGTGGTAGTGTGATGGTCTGGGGCTGCTTCAGGTCCTGGACCACTTGTCACAACTAATGGAGCCTTGTCTGTTTGTTACTTTTTGCACATAAGGTCAGGCTGATTTTGATACTTTTATCCTTTAATAAATTAAATCCTCCTTTATAAACTGCGTTACATTTTCTGGTTGATCAGATATTGAACTCTGTCTGCTGATCTGGGACATTTAAAGGTGCCAGAAAAGCAAAAACAGAAGACATCTGTCACATACTGCTTCACGCACATGCGCTGAAAATTAACTTAACGTTTCATTTACCAGATACCGAATGTGATGCACCCTGCCACTTACACAGCTGCACGTTGTTGAGAGCATTCAGTGATCACTTTATGGAACTCTCTCCCCCTGAGCCTGAGATCAGTGGACTCAGTGGTCTCCTTTAAAAAGCAGCTGAAGACTCACTTGTTCAAGCTGGCTTTTGTATGACCTTCTTCACCTCTCTCTCTTTATTCTGCTCTCCCCACCTATTCCACCTTCCTCAGGATCCACTGATTTCCCTCTTTCCTGTTCACTCTCTCTCTTTCTTAACATTTTTTCTTTTAAATCCCAATTGTGTCATGCCACCGCTCCAGCCAGGCCCGGTTTCCCCAGCAACCACAACCAGCTCATCATCTACCTGATTCAACACCTGTCTCACATTAACTCATCAGCTCCACCTGCAAGCACCTCTACATAACATCAGGGAAAACACCAAGCCAGCGCCAGATTATTGAAAGCATTTTGCTAGTAGATTCTCCAGCATTCTAAAACCCTGCCTAAACCTCAAGTTCCCGACCTCGCTTCTGAACCTCGACCTTGCGTCCTGCCTGCTCCCTGACTGGATTATCTCATAGTTTCTGATCTTCTGGACTCCTGACCTTGGATCTGTTACTTGGACTCTGCCTCTGGATTTCCCCTCCTGACCAAGCCCTCTGCTTCTGCCCTTCCTACAGACTGGTAACACTCCCGTGTGTGTTCTCAAATAAAAACTTTAAAGCGTCTTATGTGTCTGGTGCTTTCACGGGTCCTCCAGCCCTGGTTGTTACAGATTGCCAATTTTAAATATATTTTTAAACAATTTCTAAATGCTTTTTATATTTTAACACTTTTGTTGTTTTTGTAAAGCGCCTCGTGATTTTTATCTTGAGAGGCGCTATAGAAATGATTTCTTCTTCTACTTTAACCATTAAAGCACCACGAAGTTCACTCTGCAAGCTGGGAAACTTCATCCTGAAACACATCAGAACTTCGACTCTGAAATAAAAACATAAGTAAATGAAGATGCGTCCGTTTTCTTTCTGTTAAGAGAGAGAGAGTTACAGTACATAATTGTTAGTGTTGTTGAAGGGAGGCGGGGGAGCTGTCCGTTCAGCACCACCTGAGACCTGAACTACTGACGCCACCTCTAAAATGAACCAGACGCTTTGTGTTTGCCACAATTTCGGGCCCAGTTCGGCTCGTCACGACGCGACGTGTTGCGAAAAGGTGTGAAAGGGTGCGCAGATGCGCGAAACGCTGAAATACAATGGGTACAGCAGGGCAGGCGCGAGACAGCGCCCGCGTTACGCGCGCGTGAGCGCGTCTTACCTTGATTCGAACATAGCAGTGGGTTCCCAAGGACGTGTCGTTCAGACAAGCCGGGGGAGTTTCACGCACCACCCACTGGAAGGTGGCCGTCGGCCTCAACACGACGCTCCACCAAAGTTTCAGCAGGGCCACGGCGGCGCACAGAGCACAATACCCGTACACCAGCGACCAGTAGCCCACGAGTCTGATCCGCAGCGCGAGTCTCGTCACAAATAACAGCAAGTTGTGGAGCACTCTCGCCATCTTCGCATTGCCGCCGGAAATCAGTCCAGGTCGCTGTCGATGTCCCCCTGATCGGCGGCCGGCCACGTCCGTTTGAAGGCTGCTGTTTGTGTCGCTACCAGCTCACGTGCGCGCGTGTCTAAAGGGAGGATCCCAACAAACCACTGAATGGGACGGTGGCACGAGCATCACGTCAGATTTCACGCTTGCGTGTGACAGCAGATATTGTTCGGCAGGAGACGGTGGCGTTGCCCGCAGGGCGGTGGAAATGTCGGTCCTGCGGAGGACCGGTTCTGTCTTCAGGCTGAAAGCCCCGAAAATCACTGCAAAGCAGCTCGGCTTCGCGCTGCTGTTATGGCAACGCCGCCTGCGTGCTCGGTCAGCTCACGCCCCGCGGCGTGACGATGCGTGCGTCTAATTCATACACCAAAATGTGCAACTCAATCAACATTATTAAGATACGATTTTTTAGCGGTACGTAGAACAACGTGGAAAAGATTCGTAGGAAAATGTGCAAATCTTTCCCCTTTAGACAATGGGATGAAACAGGTGACAAAGCCCCGCCCACAAAAGCTCAGGTAGTTTAAAGCAGCAAAGGACTGGACCGTACGTGATCGAATAGGTATTTTGATTCATTTTAAATGGTCATTTGTACTATTTTTTAGAAAAATTTCCACATACTTACAATTTAAGATGTTGCACTGACTTTTGAACAGTTTTTTGGTGATTTGTACCATTTTGTTTGTTTTAATGTAGGTTTTGTGTTAAATTTAGTAAACAAGTAAAATTACTTGTAAAAAGGGGTAGGGACATATAAGTTTTGACTTCAGCCTACTCCTTTTCAGACAGAGAAGAAAAAAAGGGATGATATGTATTTTTTCTGTTTTTTTAAACTATGTATGTTTTCTTTGTTTGAAATAAACTAAAAAAAATCAATAAAAACATTCGGAATATGTTGTCATCTCTAAAGCACCTGCATCTTCTCTGCTGCAGGTCTCCAGGTTTTCTCTAGTCACCCAAGTGCCTTTCTATAGACTTCAGTTATTCTAAATCAGCACAAAATATTTACATCAATAAGAATGATCTTTTCAACCTATAAAATCAAGTAGAACTGACAAAGCTCCTCGGATGAGAAGCGAAACTTCAAGAAACCAAAGAAGTCCAGTTGCCTTCATTTGAACCCTTTGGATCGCCATGACCTGGATGACTGAGAACCTTCATCAACACACTTACAAAATCTTTCAATAAATTCAGTAAAACAAAAACTAACGCAGGATCATCAAACCTCGCTTCATTCAGAATGATTTTCAGACTGACTCCTAGTTTTATTTCTGAGGTTAACAACTGTGTACTTGTTTCATTTGGTTCATCATGCATTGAGATTAGGTGTATGATTACCAGTGACCATCATGAGCTTCTGACAGTAGTGTTAACATTTCTGATCTTTGTTTACTTCTATTTATTAAAACTTAGGCATTTTATTTTCCATCTCTCACATACCCAGTAGCCATTTATATCAAACCGTATTGATAGCCATCAGGTTAATATTAATTAATACACATTTTGTCCCCAGGGAGACGATGCAAACACGTGTGACAAGTCTAGAAAATATCAGTTCTGGAAACTAAAGCTTATGAGTTCACCGATTTAAATGTCAGAAAACTATTTTGCCATGATTGTGACAAAAAGCCTACAGCCAAATACAATCCTAGCCAAGAGTATTCTGTTATTTTTCAACAAGCATTTGGTGGGTAGCATGTTAACTCGCATCATAAAATCAGGAAAAGCCAGATGTCTGGGTTTTACAAGTGACAGAACCTGCATCTTGTTCCTCATATTTTTGTTTTTGGTCACATCGGTTTTAGGAACTTTGGAATCAGCCACACAATAATGACAACACATCCTTGAAGTTGGAAGCAGAAATGATGACAAAGCAAAGGCAAGATAGTGATGATAGGCCAGACGGGCCAAAAGATCTCCAGTGCAGCTCAATGTGCAAAGAACACAAACCGCTCTACATACAGCTGTAGAATAAAAAAAAGACCTGTTCACTAATGGGCCATTCCCATCTGTACCGGGTCGGCCCGGGCCGGGTAGCCCCAGTCGGCCCCAGCCTGGCCCGGTTGATTCCACACATCCTTGCCTTAAGCCCATGTGGGCTGGTTCTACCCACCAATCAGAGGCTTGCTCTAATGGAAGGTGTGAATTTGCTGTCAGCAGTGGGTGTGTTGGGCCTGGTCGGCCTGAAGCAGACCCCCTCGAGAAGAGGGCTGAGAATGAGCCTTGGTTGGCCCAGAAAAATACCAGGCCACCCAGATATGTAAACAACCTACGCTACCCGGCCCGGGCCGACCCGGTACAGATGGGAATGGCCCATAAACCACCTGTCATGTTTGGTGAAACAGGACATTTTAATTGAGTCTGACCAACCACTAGGTGTCAGTAGAGAGCAGAATAAAGAGGATAACATTAATTTGGTGTAAACGTTTACATAGACGACCCAGAAAGGAAAGGTGGTTCATTTTGGACGAATTTAAACCCTGAAAACACAAGAGCATACCATGTAAACAAGATGCACATTTCTTTGTGGCACATGGAAATATTTGAGGAGTACTGGTGTAATTCACATCAAGGTGAATCAGTTCTTTAGTGAAAATATTTATTATACTGTAAGAAAAAAGCAACAACATAAATATGTGTGGAGAACATTTGAATAATATTATAAACAACTAAAAAAAATCTGAGCAACAAAGACAGGTGCACACAGAACCAGCATCATGCAACATTTCCCCCACATCATTCGGCAAAAGACAAGGTAGAAACCCTCAAAGGACTCATTCACAGTTAGTTACAAAGAAAAATCACAGGAGGGTCACGTAACTGACTTTAACATGCTTAGTCTCCGTCTTGCTTTATATTCAGGAAACAAATACTGTGGCAAGAAGATCAGCACAAATCTGAATCCAACAGTGTTTAAGTGCAATAACTCCTAAAACAGAAGTGAACTCCAAGCAATTCTGACACTTACATAAAATGCTTTAATACAGAGTCCAATCAAAGGCCTGGATCCTTTGAATACTAACACTTTCTCCAGTCACATTTTTCTTTACTAGTTTCAGCAACACACACACCCACACCCACACACACACAGGCTTTTTGCGACAGAAACCGCTCACACAACACAATTAGGGAAAAACAGGAATTCAGGTCCATTTCTGCTGCCTTAATCCAGGTTAGACTCAAACATGTTCATTATGTTCCACTGCAGGGTCATGTCAACAGCAGACATCTGTGCAGAGAAGAAAATCCACACATTATATGAAACAATTACAGACTCGGACCCAGAGACAACGGCACTCACAGCCTCTCTCCTGCGGCGTTCCTGCTCTTTTCTCCGGGCCGCTTCTCTCTCCTTGTTCACAGCTGACTGGGATTGTGTTTCATTAGCAGAACACTCGTTAGGTTTGGGGATGTCCAAGGCAGCCTCTTGGAACAGGCTGTCCAAAACATCAGATCCCTTTCCTATAGGCTGTGGAACTGGTTCTGTTTTACATGGACCCGACAGGCTGGAAGAAGACGATCGGAGTTATGGGGTTGGCTACAGAATTGTGCAGAACAAAATAACCTACATTTAAATACGGTAAATACAAGCTGTTTAAGTCAGAACACAAAACATTTTATTTGTGAAAACCTCTTTTCAGGAGTCTCCGTCTCTTTGTTTTCATCCAGCTGTTTCTTGTTCAGCGCTTTCTGCCGTTCTTCCTTTTCCATCGCCACTTTACGAAACTGCTGGAAACTCTCTTTGGAGGACTTGATTGTAGCTGGATTGACCGACTGCCTCACCAGCTTTGCCCAAGACTGAGTATTTTTTAGGACAACGTCCTAACAAAAAAATTAAGATAGCACTCATCGACAAACTGTTTTAAAAGATGACATTTACTCAATCTGAGATTTAGCGATATAGCAACTTACCTTTTTAGGAATCAGAGGGATTTCCCCTTTCGCTGATTTACTTACAGTGTTGTTATGAGGCTCGTTGGTCACCTGACCATCACAAAGGTCTTCAGGGTAACTGAAATCTGGCCTCATCACTTTTAAAACAAAGGTTCAGTTACAGAACAAGCCAATTAAAGCAGTGATATGGAAGCAGGACCTTTAAAGCGACATACTGTATCTTGTCTCTTTGTTGGTCTTCAATGGACTGTCTCCGAGAGGAGACAGCACAGGATCCTGTTGAGGGTAGGATTAGATCGTTAGATCGGAGAAGTTGCTTCTGCTGAAAAGCGATGCCAACTAGAATCTTTCGGTGTTAGCGGGAATCCACATTTCACATGAAGAAGAACCAATACCATTTTCACACCAAGTTCTCTTTCTTTCGCACTTAGCAGCAAACCAGGGGGGAATTTGAAGCTGGTTAACTCCTGACTTGGGTGCTCATAAACTTCTCAGGGCCTTAGTTCTGGAAGCTTCCAGAACTAAGGCCCTGTCCACACGTAGCCGGGGATCTGCCAAAACGTAGATATTTTTCTACGTTTTGGCCTGTCATCCACACGAAAACGGAGTTTTTTCACACGAAAACGGATCTTTTTAAAAACTCCGGCCAAAGTGAAGATCTGCGTTTTCTCCGTTTTGGGTGTCTGCGTGTGGACGGACAAAACCGGAGTATTAAGGTCCGCAACGTCACTTTCCGCGACAAAAAAATGCTGACATCACGTGTGCGACCTGTGTTTACACTAGCCGACAGCATGGATGCCCTCAGAGCTGTGCTCGCTTTATCAATTGTCCAAGCGCTTTCTGCTTGTTTGTTTTTGCAAGCGGAATTACTGCTCCTTGCGGAAGACCACAGACGAAGGACGAGGTTAAGAACGGGGGAAGTACTGCCGCCTACAGGTCTGGCATGTCCTTAACAACGTATTTATCCGGGTACGTGTGGACAGAATTTTTTTAAAACGCGGTGGTGTGGATGCAAGTTTTTGGAGGGGCGGATATTCGTTTTAAAAAAACCCGGCTACGTGTGGACTAGGCCTTAGTCTTTATAAAAACTCTGGTATTTTCTGTTTATCCACAGTCAAAAGGTGTTCTAGGTTGTCCACCATTAAAAATCAAGGTTTTCCGAGTAAATGTTTTAACTCTCATCAGTTACAAACCTAACTGCTTGTTTTGTGTTTTTTTACTTTTATGTTAAACCTCTGCCATGTTTGTTTCACCAGTTAAAATTCATGCTAACAGCAATACAATCATAGCCTAGTGAACTAGACCAAATTCTTGTTTTGCAAAATTTGGTCTGGGCACGCTCCATTGGAACCTCCACAGCTCCTACCAGGACTCTTGCTAGCCAATCACAGCTCTCTAGAGGGGTTTCAAACACATAAAGAGCTGTGATTGGTCCATAATGGTGGGCCAATCATAGTGCTCTATCTGCTTAGTGAACAAATCACAGAGCTTTATCCGCTTTGTGGACCAATCAGGGCACTCTATATGCCTGGTGGGTGGGATGATGCAACAGAGTGAAACAAGAGTACGTCACATTCATTGTCCAGTAGCATGCAGAGATCATTTGAAAGACTGTAGAACCCGCCCCACAACCGAGAGCCGCCAATGGAGCGTGGCCAGACTAAATACATTTATTTAGTCTGGCTTGCCGGGCTAATACAATCAAGCTTAAGACATGAATTTAGTTCATTTCTGCTTAAAGTAATACTTTTTGAGGCCTTATAGGGATAACTTGGTAAATTGTGATTATGGACCTTTCATTGTTGGAAAGGTAGTTATTTGAAAGAGGCATAGTGCCATCCAGTGGTTAATGAGTGAAATACATGTGGGCGTGACCAAGGAAGGTTATAAAGGCCAGGTTTCAACCTCGTGATGGCAGAGCAAAGAACAAAGACGCCTTAAGCAAATCTCTGCTTGGCTTTTCCATCTCGCCAAGCAAAGACGTCGCTCTCAAAGTTTCCAAGTCATTAGCGCTCCCAAAATTACTGTACAACTCAACGGCAACTCCGTTGTTTTGTTTTGACCTTCTACGTAAAACCAGAAGTCAGCTTGGTCCAGTCGAGTTTTCACATTAAGAGTTAAAACTAATTGGGAGCAGTTTTTCTGATTCAGCATCGGTTTTGATCATTTGGACTCGCGCTCTGAATTCCACATTTTTGGTGCAGCGTAGGTGAAGAAACCTTGAAGTCAAGCCACTCCCGGGGAACGAGATTCTCCTGGACACACGGGAGACTACACTGACCAACTCGAGGGGGCCAAAAATCCTATAGTCCTAGAAGGCTTCACACAAGCGAGGACTCCTCCGGCTGTTTCAGCCCTTTGGTCACCCCTTTGGCAACGGAAACAGGTCTGTGAATCATTTCATCTGGCTGACTTTTCTGCTAAGCCGATTCGTGAATTCAGATGATCCCATTTCATGGTGTTTAATTTCGATCCAAATTCACGTAAGCCTTTAAGATTTACCCTTGTGCCTTGTACCACACACACACACACACACACACACACACACCTTTTTGTTTAAATAAAGTCTGAGCAGATGTTCGGTGCATTATGCTTCACGCATGTTGCCACAGTTATAACTGTGTGACTTGTTGATCATTGTCTCCTTCTCTCTTCGCTATAGGGAAATGGGTTATTGATAAACATATTGATAAATCCATGACAGAGATCCTTTCAGGAAGGCATATCTCTGGATCACACCCATCATGCATTATTAACTCATGGGATCTCGTTAAGTACCCCGTGGCCACGAGTCCCCCCCCCCCCCCCCCCCCCCAATGTCACCAGATGGGCTCCGTAGTCAAGGACAACTTAATTTATGTAAAACATTTCCTACACAAAGGCAACTTAAGGTGCGTTACAGCAGTCAGTTTTACTGTTAGGGTTGCACTTACAACACAGTTTTGTTGGATATCGTTTCTATTTTGTTCTCGGATGAAACTGCAACTTGCCCTGATCAAAGCCTGACCCGGGTAAACTAGGCGTTATTTTATGGGTATTTTTCTGTGAAAGTTTGAGTGTTGCCATGGACCAGAGGTTAGGTCCACAGCAGTAGCAGTAGCTCAACAGGTTGAGCGGGTTGTCCAGTAATCGGAAGGTTGGAGGTTTGATCCCGGCTCCGGACAGAGAATTCTGCTGTTGTGTCCTTGGGCAAGACACTTAACCCACCTTGCCTGCTGGTGGTGGTCGGAGGGACCGGTGGCGCCTGTGCTCGGCAGCCTCGCCTCTCATCTCCACCAGTGTATGAATGTGTGTGTGAATGGATGAATGATACACTGTAGTGTAAAGCACTTTGGAGTCCTTACTCTGAGAGGCGCTATACAAGTGCGGGTCATTTATCATTTTCTCAAAAGTTTTGGAAATCATCCAGATGTTTTAGGTAAAAGTGAGATGGGCTGTTGTGTAGTTTAAACCTTGGAACTCTACCATGGATCCATCTTTACCAGGGAATTACGTTTAAAAAAAGAGTCAAGATTTGTGAAGTACGTTTTCCTCTAAAATAATTCAATAATTGTACATCATTCGCTTATTTTTGTCTGATACTAAAATTTGTTTGCTAATGTGAAAAAAATTAAGTGTGAGAAAAAAATACAAAAAACAAGAATTCTGTGGAAGGGCAAATACTTTTTCCAGTGCTGTATGTCTGTAACCTGCTCTAGAGTCCAAGGTTAAGTGGACACAAGTTAAATAAAACAGACTGTGTTGGAGAATAATAATTAAAAAGTTCAGAATTTAAAAATAAAAGGAAAGGTCACTGTAATAAAATGTTCCCCGTGATTACGTTCATCTGAAAAGAGCAATATGAAATCTTTACCACAACTGCTGAGCAATTGTAATGTTCCGATCACATTTTTGCTCCTGATCCGAGTCAGGGTAATTTGAGTATCTGCCAATGAAGATTCCTGATCCAATACGTATCAGAAAAGCATTAAAATAAGGAAAAAAGAAAACGCATTCAAGTTGTCCTTGAAGGTTCACTCGTTTCAGAAGTACATTGATTTTAAAAAGCTGCTAGCCGTTTACTCCTTCAGTATGCATCTGTAAAGGCCGTGATGGAGCAGGCATGTGGAACCTCAGCCAGCAAGCCAACTTTCCCTGCACAACATCTGTAGCTACCACACAGCTCCGGTGCTGCTGGAGAATTAGAAATCCAACAGTTTGTAGTCTGCTGGCAATTTAATAAGTCGCTTCTGCTTTAAAATGTTAAAACCGATCTCTTCCACCCGATAAAGATCCTTTTAAAATCACGAGATCGGGCCAGATTTCCGATCTTAGGATCGGATCAGCGCATCCCTACTAAGCAATATGAAATAAGTAAGAAACTGGAGTGTGTGTTATAGTAAAAACAACACAAACTGGAGTGTGTGTTATAGTAAAAACAACACAAACTGGAGTGTGTATTACAGTAAAAACACCACAAACTGGAGTGTGTGTTATAGTAAAAACAACACAAACTGGAGTGTGTGTTATAGTCAAAACAACACAAACTGGAGTGTGTGTATTATAGTAAAAACACCACAAACTGGAGTGTGTGTGTTATAGTAAAAACAACACAAACTGGAGTGTGTGTTATAGTAAAAACAACACAAACTGGAGTGTGTGTTATAGTAAAAACAACACAAACTGGAGTGTGTGTTATAGTAAAAACAACACAAACTGGAGTGTGTGTTATAGTAAAAACACCACAAACTGGAGTGTGTGTTATAGTAAAAACACCACAAACTGGAGTGTGTGTTATAGTAAAAACAACACAAACTGGAGTGTGTGTTATAGTAAAAACAACACAAACTGGAGTGTGTGTTAGTCAAAACAACACAAACTGGAGTGTGTGTTATAGTAAAAACACCACAAACTGGAGTGTGTATTATAGTAAAAACACCACAAACTGGAGTGTGTGTTATAGTAAAAACACCACAAACTGGAGTGTGTATTATAGTAAAAACACCACAAACTGGAGTGTGTGTTATAGTAAAAACACCACAAACTGGAGTGTGTGTTATAGTAAAAACAACACAAACTGGAGTGTGTGTTATAGTAAAAACAACACAAACTGGAGTGTGTGTTATAGTCAAAACACCACAAACTGGAGTGTGTGTTATAGTAAAAACAACACAAACTGGAGTGTGTGTTATAGTAAAAACAACACAAACTGGAGTGTGTGTTATAGTAAAAACAACACAAACTGGAGTGTGTGTTATAGTAAAAACAACACAAACTGGAGTGTGTGTTATAGTCAA